GTGAATTATTCTTTTTTGATTCCTGAAAGGCATATCATATTCCATATTTTTATCAAAAAACTATATCATTTCGATTAAAATTCAGTCTGTAAGAAGTATAAATTGAAAGAAATATGAAGTAAAGCCATGTGAAAAATTCACAAAATTACGTTTCATTTTTTGAGTTAAAATATTTCTAATTAAGGGATAAACATTCAAAACTTTCCAATGTTTCAGCATGTTCTTTTAAATATACCCCTTACTACATACAATTAATTTCATTTAATTTGAATCAGTAAATATTGAGATAGACATCATTTTATCACCGCACCCCAAGTGAAGCCTTTACAAAATAAGATGTTATGCCGTTAGCGTATTATATGTTCTCCTTTATTATTTATTATGTTAAATAAATAAAACTAAAAATTCGAGTTAAAATAAATTACAAATAATGCATTTAAGAATCCTTAATATCTTCCCGTCTGTGTATATCAGTTGAATATGACAAGGGGCACTGTGAAAGAGTCTAGAAATACGGTGCGACAACGAGAGCGCAGGGCCGAAAAGCCCGACAAAGAAGAAAACGGGTAGGGTTTGAAATGTCTACTTTCTGGTGATTCTAATCCTGTATATCGTGACACAACCTTTTTGAATATAGAATTGTATTGAAGCGCACATTAATCTGAACAAAACTTGAAGTTTTTAAGAAGATTCCACGAATATTAAAACTTTTGCAATTACTTGGAGGAGCATTGCGCATATTCATCGCTTAAATCTTTGCATTTTGTCGGTAAAATGAACAATTACAATGTTACGCCGTGATGTACAGTATCTGACGTCGTATCTAAATCACTTATGAAAGCAGGTGGTAAAATTTAGAATTGTCATTATCAAGTTAAGAGTAATGTATTAATAGATGATTCACCTGTGGTTGTGTATGTTACCTTAGTGTACATATGTTTTCATTTTAGTTTTTACATTACCTCCAGACATTGCCAGAATATGTCATCACTTCTGGCAATGTCTGCAACACTAATCAGAAATTAACAAACAAACAACGGTACTATACATCTTAAAAATAAATATAAATTTATTTTAGATTCATAGAAGTACTGATCACATACAATGTATCACTATTACTTCCCATTTTTAAGCATGAATTTTCAATTGCTATATCTACCATCTGGAGATTTTTTAGATTCATCCATGTTGTCATTTTTCTAGCAAATCTAGGGTCGTCATGAATTGTAAATATTATCAAATGACATATCAGACTCATGAATAATTTTTGGGATTTGCAACTCTATGGACTTGCCATTTTAGTTGTGTATTGTATTGTTTGCTGTAAATATATTAAGTCCCATTCTATCAGCAGATATAAGTAAATAATATATGTAGAATGTATATGTTTAGCTAGAATTCAATGCTTCATGCAAAAATGAACAATCAGAAAAACAAAGAGCATAGATGAATATTCATAAAAAAATAATAGACTATCTAACTGGATTTTTAAAGATACAAAAAATTGTAGCTAACATGTATGTATGTCGGAAAGACGTTTTAATTTATGTGATTAAATGAACTCTGTGTACTATAAGTATATGTATATATTTCTTCAAGTTATTGGGAATGAAGTATAAACACATTGCTGATTTTGATTAAATGCTCATACTGTTATTGGGTTAAGTATAGATTCTCATTGATGTAAAATGTATTAATTAATAATCAAGATATAAGATACTTGTGTTTAGTTTATTCAATGTACAGACTCGGTGTAAAAATGTCCATTTTCTATAAAAAATGCCTGTCAAATTAAACATATTGAACATTTTTATTGTATAAATTTTTTGGGGACATATGCCAATGACAATGAAACTATTGCATAACCAGGCTTAAAACTGTAATTGCATTGCACAATAAATATTTCGATGTTCGTTGCTTTGTAGCACAAGTGTTCTATTTTGTTATTTCTTTGAAATAATAGACAAATTCTAAAAATCTTGCCACCTATTCCTAATGATCCTATTCCAACATTTTCATTTTCAACTTTCCTTTGGATAAACATGTCCCCAAGCTGTGAATAACTCCCCTAATTTTTTTGTAAAGAACTCTCTATTCTTTTTAAGATCCCCCCCCCTTTTATGAAAGCCCTTATATAAAGTCTTAGTGATTAGAAAGTATATTAATTATTATTAATACAGAGACAACATTGGGGAGTATAAAGAATACAAAACCCCTCATCTTATCACAAAAAATCATGTTATATCCCAAACCAAAAGTTGGTTGACGAAGAGCACATCAAAATACAATGAGGCACATTAACTGAAACCTGAACTCAAATGTTACTTTAACTTAGGATGAAGTACAGTATTCTCTTTATCCAAGGTGTGGCACTGAGAACATTAAGAACATGATACTTAAAAATAGTATGGAATACTTTTAAGATAATCCCACACTTGATAAGACAATGTATGTGTTTTTCATTTGACATCTCTGAATAGTGATAACAGGTAACTATTTGAATTCAATAAAATGGTAAAATAGAGCCAACAAAAAGTTCTTAAAAGCAAGCCTTATGTCCTGTTTAAGAAATCATATTCTCACTATTGAAAATGGGATTCTAGCAATACCATTCCATATGAATCCACTTGTTAAGACTCAATCAACTTGATAAACTTGAGTTCTTTTGTGAAAATTAGGACTTCAACGAGGATGTATTGACTTAACATGGGAATACAATTGACTTTTAACATGTATGTCATCATGGGGATCGATACAAAATTCTAATTATCTCAGAAGAACTCAAGTTTATAGAGTCTTTACAAGGAGATTCAAATGGGAGAGTATTGGAAGATCCATTTTCAATAGTAAGAAAAGGGATTCTTAAAGAACATTAAAGCTTAACTAAGGCCTTCTCAAAAATTTTGGTTAGCTCTAAATTAGAGATGATAAATGCAAGTCAGTAACCAAAACTGATTAAGATATTTTCCTCAAAAAAATATGAAGAAGCATTATTGATTAATAAAGTAATTTATACACCTATACACTCATGTAGTTTATAATTAAGAAATATAGACCGAAGAGCAGGAGTAATATTGTCAAATACACCTGCAGGGCTAGGCACAAACATTTTCTGTAATGAAAACTCGCCAAAATGTTTTGAATATTCATTATGGTCCACCATTACTACGGCCCACCATTATGACATCACACATTACTCATATTACCAGGGGTATTGTTCGTGAATATAGTTTGGTTGAAATATTGACTTTGTTCACAGTTAATAGAAGGCGTGAATACAGTCATGTTCGAATAATTGATACATTTGGTCTTAAGTCTTAAAATCATTGTTAAACTTAATTCAGCTTGTCGATCAAATATCATGTCTAGGCTAGGATTTATGTCTCCCTGGAGTCTGTAAGTTAACCATGTGTAACAAATGCTAAATATTGCAACCACATCAATTCCATATCTGCAACGTAATCGTTGTTTTTGAAATGAGCAATTATTATCCATTGCTCTGTATTATGATGAATGTGTTGTGACCAAGACCTCAACATCAGCATTATTGCATTTGAACTCTAAAGGCGTATTTTTCCTCATAAAGTAGCACACTTTCATGTCCCTCATTTCTGTAACAAAGCAAAGAAAATAGATGAATAGTAATAACACATTACAAAATGTTTATGTTTTTATAAGCAAAATGGCATGCACTTCAGACCACAATTCTTATGTCAAAATATGTGGATAGATTTTGGGGGTAATTGGCTAAGAAAACTTTGAACTGAACTAAAAGCTGTTCTTTAAAGTTTTCATTATCATTGATCCAAGTTTGGATCTTTGAAAATACTGGCTTGAATGCCACTTGGTGGATTAGCTTGCTGATTTTAAAAGTTGATAACTATGCGACAATTCCTGGAATCAAATCACTACAACCTTTCTCAATATAACTCAAATATTTAATGATCACAGATATTAGATGACCCTATAGTGAGTATAAAATATTATTATGCCCCCTGAAATTCTCATCACATTTATATCCCAAAAATAGAGAAGAAAAGAATTATATTTAACAAAGGCATACATGAGCATATGAACTAAATAAGATAATAATTTAGTATTACTAAATCAAAGAATGAATATTTACTTTTCATCATACAGGTAATGTCCCATATGAATTTGAGATTGACGGTGTAAAGGAAGATAAAACAATTGAAATCAGTCCTGGTATGCTGATCAGGCTAGCAGCAACATGCTATGGAGCAAAACCCCCAGCATCTATTCAATGGTGCATAAGCTACAATGGAAAAGATCCAGTGGATATGACTGAGAAGGATTATGGAAATTCTGATGCTTTGATCACTAGTGTGACAACTAATAAGAGAGACCCTGAGACAAGTGACACACATAGTAAGCTTGAGATGGTACCAAATGAAGACCATGATGGGGCAGCTATACACTGTGTTGCTATCACTAAGATCAGTGCAGATGAAGCAAAATGGGATTTGAAAACTAGTCCTAAGATAACCCTGAAATGTAAGTATAGTTGCAAGTAAGTAGAGCTTGTGATTTCCCCTATCTGTTTGATTCACTGTGTTGAAAATTCAAAAGTTATTTACTACCCTGTAGAAAGTGTATTTCTGCTCTTTCAAATAGATGAAATATTTAACAACTTTATTTTACCAAATTAGTGTTTGCATAATATGATTCAGCACCCTGGTAAAAGAACTGGAATTACTGAGAATAATACTGGCTGAAACAGACTCTGTTAGCCAATTTGGTGTTTTAGCGAATATGGGAACTTTAGTTTAATGAATAGTAGGTTACTAGACTTAAAATTCAATTGTTATCCATGCATTTGTTTACCAACCTGACGCATGCTATATTAAATACCGTTGTACAAGTACATATGTTCGCTGTTGTCGTTTCAGTGAAAAAGGGCCAGGTTGGTGACTATCCTGGACAAGGTGGTTACTATCAGGGGCAAGGTGGTGATTACCGTCATCAAGGTGGTGACTATCGTGGTGATAACCATGGGCAAGGTGGTAACTATCATGGGCATGTTGGACAAGCTGGCCAAGAATATCAACCACATGGGAATACACGGTACGTTTTCTCAATCTGAAAAACTGTACAGTAGTCAGTTTTGCTTGCATGATAATAAATTATGATATGTGAATGTATGTCCCTTTCCCAAAATTCACAAAGAGGAAGAGTATATAGAGGGAGGTGCTTGGCAACTGATCGCAGGACAGAATTTATGCCAATCATAGACATAAAAACGTGTCACGTGGGAACTTGTCATTGTAAAGCTTAGCCTTAGCACAACTGAAAATCAACATCATCTTACAATCTTAACAGTATGTTTTCAACTTTACCGTGTTGCTTTGTTTTGTATATATAAAGTGTTCACATATCCGACATTGTTTTCTATGTCGTCAGATAAAGAATATTTCAGTCTTTTCAATGCTTACATTTGACACATGCATTGGATTCAATTTTTTATTACCTACTGTTAGTTCTGAGTAATATACCCTGCACTATTGTTTATTTCAGAATTATATCACTTTAAACATTATTTAAATTAGTATAGATAGTTAAGTTCTAAGAGTGAAAACATTGGTCCTATTTGAGACACCATCACATTTGATTTCAGCAGTCTTTAAATAAATATTCAAGACGTGATTATAATTTTGTAATAATTGTATTTGTATCAATTGCTTTGGTGCTAGTGGCTTCTTATCAATTGATTCACTCATTATTCAAACTTGAGATTTCATTGTTATTTTGCTTTTCATAAATAACTGGGCTTATTGTGCTTTTTGCTTTCACAGACAACAGGATGGTCCCCATGGTTACCAACCTAGCTCCACCTATAGGGAACCCGCCCAAACACAAAATCATGAAAATTACGAGTTGAGATCCCAAAACTATAACCAACCCCCTGATTATAATCCACCTCGTGTCAGATTCAGCCCCCCGTCCCCTAAGGGAGGTACTGATCTTTCAGATCTGCCCCCGCCCCCTCCTCCTGATGCGTATGCTAACCCTACACACAGTCAATTGTAAGTGGAACCGTGTGCAGTTTCATTAGTGTGTTTTAGATGGTAAGATTCGGGGGCATGACCCTAGAATGCCAACTGTTGTTTATTATATGAACTGTCAGCATGCATACATTAATATAAGCATAATGCATAGTGATTGCTTAGTTTCTTTGAAACATTGTTACATTGCACACACTTTTGACTTTATACAATTTATACACTTTATACAATTTATACACTTTTTACTAGGTTTCTTTATCTTTAAGGAGGAATCAAAGAAGAATTACAAGGGAAATGTACAATTTACCTACTAATATAGTTTTACCATCCTAAAAAAATCTGTTATATTGTCAAATGGGAAAAATATTGCAGGTACAAAGAGGGAAAAAATATTTCAATTCTCCTGGATGAAGTGTGGGAATATCCAAATTTTCAAAAAATAAGATAAAGAAATTTGGAACGAGGAATGATAACTGAGTCAAAACAAATTCAAAAGTTCTGGCAATTTTTGTAAAGATCACTTGCTAGATCTGATTCTTCCTTTGATCTCTGACAATTTGTTTTACAAGTCTTTCAGCTGCTGTGAAAGCATATATCTGACAGTAAAAGCCTTTGCCTGCTCTTTAGTTGTTCAATCTCTTTTGGGGCATTATGTTGGAATTCTTTTGGTTTTGATTTATTCTGGTGAACTGTTGAACTTTGCAATAAGCCTGGCATGTCACCTATAATGATATATATTACAAGAACTTGAAATTGTTTCATTTTGCAACTCACCTTTGATCAAATGCATTGCTTGCCTCTAGAACTGATACAAAAATAGTAGTCTGTAGCATTCACACAAACTATTTCTTCACCCTTTTTAGATGAAATTCTATATGTCAGTTGTGTTTTGTAGCGTCATGTATGAAAATGCTTCAAATGTCACAAAAATCCCTATAGGCAATTACCCTTATTAGTTGTAAGTATTATTGATGAAAATATTTCCACATTATTTAAACCTTAATTTAGTACATGCACATTTGAAAATGTATTTGGACTAGTTGATTTGTACACCATTGTTTACATTGTACATTTATTAGTGACATTTTGGTTTATAGTCTTGCCTCAAATCTGTAGATCACCCACTGTAATTCATCTTACAATGGAGAAGATTTCTTGTTTTGGTGAAGTTGTAGATCACAACATCTTACAAGTTAATAAATTTTTATATGCTTTTCAGGAATGATAAGGATCCTTTCCCGCAACCTGGAAAACGCCCAAATGCCCTGGAACCCATTCAAGGTCAAAGAACCCTGACACCTATTGGTGACATTGAAAAGACATCGTTCAAAAAGAAAAGACAAACAAATAAACAAACAAGTGAACTATAGTGCATGTATGTAAACATGATGATGTTAACTTGAATAATACATGTGAGCTTATTTTTGCACATTCAGTCTAAATGCATCAGTTAATAGATACAGAAGGATTATATGGAGTTAATTGTGCAGAATCCCATAATAAATAAGTGCCAATCGTTGATCATTTACATTAAATTAAAGTACATTATATGGTTAATTATGAATGATGCATTATATTTACTTGAAAAGAAATATGGAATTTAAGGAATGTGCAGTTGCTATGGAAACAATATGTTATTTTTATTATGAGGTTGTATCCAAAGGGTGAATAATTACATTTTAGTTGAAACACAAAATAATTCTTATTTTAGAATATTTTATTTAATATCTTATTTTGAATAATATTCAGATTGAAATTTTAATACTTTAAAAAATTGATGTATATTTCAGTGTTCAGGATCTGCAACAAAAAGTACAATTTGAAATCGCAACCAGTTTTGTCATGTTACATGTTGTGCCTCGTTGGCATATGCAAAGTGTTGTTACACAAACTTGTTCACAACTTGAACACATATAGGGTGTCTCAAAAAAATGTACCCAAAAGTATATCAACACCATAGACAAACCAATCAATATTTTCAGACATTTTTTGCATGGTCTTGTAGATAAAAGATGAAAGTTTTTTCCCCTATACACAGTTTTTAATTCAGTTTTGCCTTTTTGATACTTTAACCCATTACCTTTTACACCACATATTCAATGTAAAGTCATATTTCGATGACAGTTTGCATCCGTACTACTACATTGTTCATCACATTTGATATTTCTGGTGGAATGTTTTGATTTCTGTTCGGATGCTGGTCTTAAGTTGTTCTAGGTCTCTTAGCTTGGGTTTAGCATAAAAATAGTCTTTCAAATAGCCTCAGAGAAAAAAGTATGGCCCGTCAAATATGGTGAATAGGGAGTCCCCCACAATGTCTTATGGCCCCCTTATACAGAGAGGTCAGAGGTTCAAGAAACTGCATTGGTTGGGATTCTAGTGTAGCTTTTGCTTTGTGTATCAATTTGAGAGCACTGTGTTTTCATTTGGATATCATTTGGTCTCCAGCCTTGCCTGCCTAACTCTGGAAGGTAACTCCTGAATCATTTGCCGATAATTGACCTGATTATCTGTGTTTGTTCGGCCATCGTCATCCTCAAACTTCTTTCTCTGTGGCTATTTGAAGGAGTGTTTTTATGCTCATTCCAAGCAAAAAGACCTAGAACAACTTAAGGGCAACATCCAAAGAGAAATCCAAAACATTTCATCGGAATTATTATCAAATGTGATGAACAATGTAGCAGTAAGGAGACAGGCTGTCATCGAAATATGAGGTTACATCGATTTTGTGGTGTAAAAGGTAAAGGGTTAAATAATCAAAAAGACAAGACTGAAATAAAAATGGTGTATTGGGGAGAAAACTTTCATGTTTTGGCTACATGACCATGCAAAAAATGTCTGAAAATATTGATTGGTTTATCTGTGCTCTTGATATACTTTTGGGTACATTTTTTTGAGACACCCTGTATATCCTTGTAAATAACAATCAGAGTTCAGACATAATTTTTTAAGCTTTAGAAATGAACAATTTTAAGATGAAATTAAGATTGTGTATAAATTGCTCACCATGAATGTATGTACAGCTTTGTGTAGATATTATACAGTTATAAGCTTCAAGCTTCAAACGTTTATGCATATATGTATATGTTATTTAATTATGTATCCAAGATATATGCTATTATGTAGTAAAATGCCTTAATCAAGATTTCTTTATATAAAGCTAGCTGTGATTTACTAGAAATGCAAGAAATTCTTTATTATACTGTACGCCCGGTATTATTCGCGTGTGATTAACTTTCGCGCTTTTCGCGATGGTGTTAAAATCGCGAAAAATTATCGTCGCGAAATTGCCAATTAAATCCCCGGGAATTTGTTATTACCCGGGGCTCTGATGCATTTCGTTTTGTGTAAACGTTTCGTCTAGTGTTATTGGGCGATAATTGGATATCCACGATCTTCAGGACTTCAGTAATGTCCATTTTACGTTGGCTGATTCAGCCCAGTACCACCAGTAGGCCCAATAATGATATTGATGACATCATTGCAAATGAAGTGCAAATTGCAAAAGATAACATGAAGTCCAATTCCAAACGCGGGACATATAAGGTGTATAACGATGCAGAAAGGGCAAACATAGCCCGGCACGCATTACTGAATGGCAATTCAAGCTTGTGAAAATCGCGAAATTTAATAGCCGCGAAACTGTGTTTTCGCAAAATTCGCGAAATTAAAGCTCGCGAATAATACCGGGCGTACAGTAGTTTGATAGAGAAAAATTAAACATATCCGGAGTATATACTGTATGATATACATATGAGTTTAATTAAAGGCACATCATATTGCAATGATATAATGACTAAAAGAGTGCAACTAATGAGTTTATGTTTCTTGCCGTCCCAGAGAAGTTATGTATGTATATTGTTCTGTGATAAAATTTATGTGATACCAGACATCATAAATCAGGGAACTTTCCAATAACTGTAGGAAATAACTTTTTTTTTTAATTTAAAGATGGTGAATTTGTTATTTTTGAAATTATCTGCAAAACTCAACATGACAGAATTCCCCAACTGAAATATTTTAAAGTTTTAAAATTACTTTGTCAGCCTGTAATTTTAAATCCATAATGCATTTCTGTTCAACCTATAGATTTAATATTTTTGAAAATGAAATGTATAAATCTCATATTGTGACTGTATTGTAATTAAGATAATTATTAAAATTTAAGGTATTATACATTTTTGAAGAATTGTGTAACATTGTAAGAAAGATAGGGTTAAGCAAAGATTCTTGCTTGTTTAGTTCAATCTTTTCTTTCCTCAAGATAGATAAGGTTAGATAATAAACATATTTCGCTTATTTACAATTGTCAACATTGTGCCTATATCATCTTTGAATTAATGAATAAATGTATAAAAATATAAACATAAAAGATATAAAAAATCAAAATATCTGATACATAATCTGATAAAAGTAACTCAAATTTAATTGTCATCTCCTGTGATGTAAGGACGGGAAATGTGCCACATATAGATGATCACATAAATTGAAATAACCATGGTAACTTGTAAGAATATTTCATGTTATTCAGATCCTGTATGTATTATATACCATTTTAAAATACAATGTCTGCGCCTTACTGACAGTTATTACTATGGTAACAATTATTGTATTGTTTCATTTGTTAACTCTGTGTGTTGTATCTTTACAAAAAGCACCAAATTAAGTATTTTCCAATGGCAATATTCAGAAAAAGATATACCAAGTTTGCATAACCATACAGAAGTACCTTTAACTGTATTCAACAGATCAAACTAAGAATCAATATAATAGAGTTAAGTAGTATATGTACTCATGAATCATGATTCTGATTTGTTGCACACAAATACTTATAAAAAGGATCATTTTAGTACAGTATTGCATTTTATTTGATATTTAAAACCTTGTTTGAGAATTTTGAATATTGACAAAAAATACAATGAATAATTTATGTAAAAATTGATCCTTTTTATTGCCTCTGTTATTTTTAGATATATTTTATTAATGATTTGTTTAGAATCATTTTTTATAGATCATGCTTTTACTGGGTGTATAATCAATTCCTGCTTTTTCTGTGTAATACATGATATCTAAAAGTAAAATGTATGTTTTGTAGTTAATAATGGTTATTTTTATTTATGCCAGCAATGATTACATGTTTAATTTAAACACAATGGAGATTACTGGATAATTTTATAGTAATCGGGTGCCCCAAAAAAGTGAACCACTTTTTGACAAATATTTTCTCAGCAATAGATAAGACAAATTATTTGAAATTTTTTATTGAGGAACTTTAGGGTATCATTAGCATTGTGCTATAAATATGAGAGAGACATTACATTCAATATTTTCATACAAAAAGAGAAAATGTCAATGTCTTTTAAGTTGCAAAAAGTCTCAAGGTATGATTTAAACTCATGATTTTGATCGAATGACTTATGAATTTGGGATACCTGGAAAAAGTTTTAGGATCTGCAGAGAAATCAACAAGAATCAGAGACATATGTTTTATATGTCTCTGCAAGAATGTACCAAATGAACTTCTACGAAAAAAATGACAGTTGCATCGACAAAGTCCTGCAGCGGTGGTCATCCATGATTTGAATACTATCTGATCTAAAAAAAAGGTATACACACCAACACCCCAACGACAAATCCGATCATCAAAGGAGGACGGAAAGTCTCACAAAAGATTTCAGACAGTCATATGTTGGATTTTGGCTATTTTCTGAGGATTTTTAAAACAGGTGCAGCGCATATGTTAGGCCAATGCAATAACGCCAGGATAATTGAAGCAATCATCGTCTCATAGAGATGATGAAAGAAGTTTGGACTTTGAGACAGGGAAGGTGCAAATACCCCAGCAACATGTTTTTCTGAAATGTTGTTCTTATTTTCAATCTTTTCCACACCTGTTTTTCAATATTTGATGCATCATTTTGTTGCAGTTTGAGACACAGTTAACCCCTTAAAAGGAATAATGCATTCCTTTGAAATAAAGAGGAAGTCAATATTTCCCATGTTATTTTCCCATAGGGAAAACCCATGCAATCCATTGTTTTCAGTTTAATTTAAGTCACCCATTATGGATATCTTTAAAACCCCTGAAGGAATTACTGAATTACTTATTCCTTTGAGGAGGTAAACTGTGTGTCAAAAAGCAACATATTGATGCAACAAAAACTGAAAAACAGATGTGGAAATGGTTGAAAATCAGGAGAACATTTCAGACAAAACATGTTGGTGGGTTGTTTGCATCTTCCCTGTCTCAAAGTTATGTTATCATCTCTACCAGTACTTTTGTTTAAATCCTCAGAAAAAGCCCAAATCCAACATATGAATGTTTAAAATCTGTTGTGATACTTCCCGTGCTCAGTCCTTTAGCTTAAGACGGATGATTCAAGTCTAAAAGTGCAGTGAAGTTTAAATATCAATATCAGTTTTTAGTCAACTTCCATTTCAAGGTCAAGATTGTAAATCATATTGATTTTCTGTATAAATAATTTGAAGAAAGAAATAACAAAAGTTCTCAAAATTTGTTTTAGGAGAAATATAGCAATAGAATATTTAAGAAAAGAAAAATGTCAAAATTGACCCCTGTTCATAATTCCCTCTTTAATCAACTTTTGCTCAAGTATGAAAACCGAAAGTGTATGCTCTCGTGTGAGTCATAACTTCTCAGAACTTGTGAATATTCTTACATTTACAGTGCACCAAAAGAATATTAAACATTTCTACAGCATTGTAAGGTTGATCAGGTAAGGACCACGCTATCCAAACTTATAATAATTTATTGTGATGTTGTAAACATAAAGTACATATAGTGTTATGTAGAAATATTTGTATAAATGCAAACACATATACTATCTAGTATTTTATTAGGTGAACTTTGTGATAAGCTACAAGTTACTTACCCTTTTAGATAAATAAACAAACATGTTTATGTTTAAAAACAGATGAGATACAGCATGGGATTTCTCAAATTGAAAGACCATGGATACAGGTAAGCCAATAGCTGATATCATAATTATTTCTTCCGCATACCTCTTTCGTCAAACGGTAGAACTCAACAAATGCACGTTTTCTATGCTTGTAACGTTTTTCTGCTATATCAAATATATTCTTATTTCAGTTACGATAGACAACAATATGCCGTACAATTTTAACCCAGTTCTGAGTCTTACATTTTTTAGCGCTAGCTTCACTTTGACGCTGTTTTCTTCTTTTAGTAAGTATCATACATTATTTGATCACATTGGAATCAATTAGTCTTCATCCCCATCATTCTAGAGTCGGTTGTAGTACACCGTTCTAATAATAATAAAGTTATGGCATATTTCTGAGTCACTGTAACTTTTTGTTTTGTAGGCCTGGTTGAACAAGTATTTCTGGTTAACGTTGTGAAAAAATAGTACAGGTGTAAAAGGGTAGGAGGTCCCATCAAATTATGGTCCTACTCTCCATTGATTTATATGGTGACCTCAATACAACTCTTTCTCTCATTATCTTATACGCAATCGGGGCCAGTAAGGGCCGTTAAGAAAGGGGACCATAATCCCTGGGAGACCATAATTTCTTTCACACCGGTATTAGTATATTAAAAGGCCCACAATGCTCTGCTTTACATACAGAAATTATTAGTATTAGTGCCTTTGTATTAATCACTAGCATTTTCCGGGAATATCGATATCAATCCAGGGAGTGTGAACTATATAATTTATGCATTTATCTTGATAACGCACAAAATGGCATTCAAATGTTTCTTCCCTGTTCTTTATAGTACTGATGTGAAGTATTGTTCAGTTTTTTCTGCCAATTCCAAAACATTAAGTACATCTGTTTGCTTAAATACAGTTTATTCTTAGTAACAGTATACTCATCGTTGTTAAACGCAAGTGCTGTATTGATTTGCATTTATCAGACCATCATGACCCTGATAGACGCTATACAGCATTTATATGTGGCAAAATGGCAATCAGAAAAATTCTCTGAATTCGTACAAAGATCATGGACTAATGTATAGGTTACCTAGGCCTATACTTTTCTTCTTTGAACGTATGGCAACATCGCCAGTGACTGGGCGTTGTACATAACCGACGATGATGGACTCTGCATTAGCATTTACAGCAGTGTGGATACTCTCTGTGTTTTCAGCATCTGGCCAGAACGTAGTGGTGATTGAAGGCCCAAAGGACAGGGCTGTGCTATTGGGGCATAATGCTGAACTCACATGTCACATAAACAAAACCGCATCCGATAGTAATCATGTTGTACAATGGATTAGTAGTTCTGCAAGGACTGGAGCAGGAAAACCTTTAACTGTCAATGAGAGAGTCACGGCTAATGATATGCCAAACAAATTCTCAGTGTCTACAGAAAAATCATATAATCTAGGAATTCAAAATACAGATCTAGATGATGCAGGCAAATATGTATGTAATAATGTACTTAAAGGTACACCTATTGGAGGTTTGGAACCACAACTTGTAGTTTTAGGTAAGTACATGTATAGTATAACACTGGCGGACCTTGGTGGGCCCAGAAAAAAATTGGGCCAAAACAAGCCTAAAGGCCCCAAAAAGTGGTCCTTTTTGGTCATAACTGGGCCTTTTAATGACTTATTTTTTTAATTTAAGGCCAAATTTTGAAGAAAATGGGCCTCAAATTTTAAAAGTTTGGGCACACCGAAAAGTTTTTGTTTGAATTGTTTTTATCATACCTGCAATTCCCCCCCCCCCCCCCCCTAGTTGGTTCCCAGATCCGCCCCTGTATAAAACAATTCATTGTGATTCATGTAATTTATAAATCGATTAATATTCCTGACTCATACAATAGTCATAGTAAGCAGTGTAGTATTGAAAATAGATGTTGATAGCAAAACCAAAGTAATCCACTTCATTGGTACAGAGATGTAATCTTTGAATAATGCATTTGCAATGTAATTTTAAAGCTAGTAGTTATATTGGTCGTTAAATGCAGTCATCCTCCTTTCCAGAACCTGAGCCATGCTCAATGCCAAATATATCAACATATAATGAAAGTGACGTCATCACATTCGCATGGTCAGTCGCATACGCAGGGAACCGTGACGAAAGCCAGAAACCAACCATAATATGGACACTAAACGGTATACGGCAGACATCGATAGCTAATGAAACAACTCCCGGAGTGTTCAATTCAACTTTTATAAAAGAAGCTGATGGAGATGACGACCAGAAAGAGCTGAAATGTTCATTCTCTGTCCTGAATATCCAACAGCATTGTTCAACCAAGTTGAATATTCAGTGTAAGTATCTCCTAATACGACCTCAATGTTCATCTGCCCTTTCTTCCAAAATGCATCATGATAAACTATGACATCTCATTTCTTCTTAGCCCTGAGATGTTTCAGGTAAAACAGAAAGATATCGGAATGTCCAAAATGCAATTGCGCCATCTTTGATCTATCGGTTATCAATTATTCTGACTTGCCATCTAACCTGTATTTCTGAACTAGATCAAAACTGTGCTGAATAATGAATATAGTTAAAATAATAGACGTGTGTATAATGTCGTTGATATTACTCTTTAGATGAAATTAATCTTGGATTATTCTTTTTATCATCTTAGATACAATAAGTACTATTCATATGGTGATGACCTTATTCACTAATAAAGCTAGTCAAGTTGTGTTCTCAGTTTAATTTTCTTACCTTGATTATACATGACCAATTTAATTTACAATGTCATTTGTCATTTCAGTCACTGCTGATCCTTCTTGTAAGTATTTTAAATTAAATTACTGGTTTGGTATTACAAGAGAATTTGAAATAAGTATAGTTTGCGTACATACTCGTACTGTGTATTAATAATAAGGTTTATATCAAAATCTATTGTTGCAACTTGTACATATTCTTTATAAATTATCTCAGTGATTTTTTGTATGATGCAAAATCAGAATTACAGCTAACTGCCGCTTTAAATAATCCAAAGTGAATATATTGTACTTATTTTAATGTATTTTTTATCTAATACTATTGTCCTAATACATGTTTACATCTCATGTTGTAGTAGGACCAGGGCCTATTGCAGGAATAGTGATTGGGGTTTTACTAGGAGTGCTAATCGTCGCTGTGTTGCTATTTTATTTCCTCGTGTGGAAGAAGCGCCGCCCAACACATGAAGAAGGTAAATAGGTAAAGGCAAAATTTGGATTCAGCGCTCTCAAAATTCAAAGTAATTTTCATTTTACTCAAACATTTTCTATCTTTGTGTGTTTGACCGAACCGGGAGTACCCGGATGTAAAGTTCTCAGTACCCAAAAGAGATGGAATATTGTTGTCACTCTGAACTATCGCGAATTGGTTTGTTGAATAATCTTGCCCCAAGACGGTGTATCCCCCTGTGTACTTATTCACTTTTCCAATACAACGATATTGAAAGTGACGTACAGGGGGTACACAATCTTGAAACAAGACTACTAATATCTATTGAATAATCCGCTGCAATGAGAACAGAATGATGTTGCACCATTTAACAAGTGCTCTTTGAAAAGCTTATCATGCTATTTACAGAATATTCCCAAGTCAAGAAAGGTGAACATGAGGAACCAAAACCAGCACCTCGAACCCAACAAGATGGCAGTGATAAGTAGTTGAACGTCGAAGTTTCTTTGACCTTACAGACTACGAAAAGAAACACCTCTATGAAGCGATTAATAAAGTTAAGGAAAATGGCAAATATGATGAGTTGGTTAGTTATCACGTGGAAGGCATGAATAACCGAGAAAAAAATAAAGCTCATCGTGGACCAGGCTTTCTTCCATGGCATCGTCAATATCTACTCACTTTAGAAATAAAAATGAGAAATGTAATGAATAACCCGAACCAGTTCATTCCATACTGGGACTGGGGAGGCGAAGCTGGTGTCAAAATATCCGAATCTAAAATCTGGGACGATATCAGCGGAAATGGAACGGTTTCTGATGGTCTATTTGCAAAGCGGAAATTAAAGCACAGTGATGTCGTATCTTCACACTCACGTATGGCTTCAATACGGGGAAGAATCCAATCCATTGATGCTATAAAGACTACACCCCAGGAAGAGCGGTACTATGTTTCCCTTTGGAATGCACAAACGAGGGATGGATTCAAACATTTCCAGAAGGATGGTCAGATAAGACTGAGGGCATGCATAACACGACCCCCCCCCCCCCCCATACGACCCACGTTGTAATCCGTGGTGGAATGTTATACTTCTCCAAATGACCCGTGTGTTTTTGGATCGTGCTCCCATTGACAAGCTTTGGTGGGATTGACAGAATACCAAACCGCGATCCAATTTAAAGGAATCGTTTTTTCTACCAAGAACAAGTGCGAGTAATGGGTACTATTGACAACCCTTTGTTTCCTTGGGATGGTGAGACTTTAAGTCATGTTGTTACTTTACGTAGAGAAGCTATACATAGTACAGTATGATAAACAAGCAAAGACTCTGGACTCAAGACATAGTGACGGAATCATGAGCATAAAAGACATGTCTAAAAACGTCTCAAAAAGTACATATGCAAACCTCAATCTACGATAAGTGAGTGAAGAGGTATGTCTATGTTTCCAAGACTGGCTAGTGGCTATTGTTAAAGTCTATACCATAGGCAAAGCCCGATAGGAATAATTTTTAAATAAAGATAATACTGGCTTCTGCTGGTGCTGACATCTTTATATCGGCCCAGAACCTATGGTCTATACCGTGATCGTAGCCAGGCATGAGGTACATGCCTCGCCAACATTTTACAGAAATATTTTATCAGAGATTTTTTCACCAAAATTTTAGAAAATGAAGTTTGATTGTAGTAAAACACCTCCTGAAATTGGGTATAGTTGGAGTATGGGCGAAAATCCGAAGGAGACTATACACTAATGATACATTCATATCTGCATAGCAAAAATTGGTGTGCACTTTGTGTATATATGATTGTGCATTTTGATTCTCAGAGTTTCTTGTTGCTTTACCTTCTGTGATTTTGATAATATGTTCATAGCTTAATTATTTTTATTTTAAGCTTCAAGCTTCAAAAGTGTATATACAGCTTTATCATTTGCAATTAAAATATTTATCTATTTTTATATTTTATGTACTGTGTGAAATTGAGAATACGTGGAGATAGGTTCAACTTTTCGGAGGTTTCACCCTTTTAATCCTCCTTTCACACCAAACTAGTTCTCAACAATTCTTTCCAGTCCTACAAAAATGTGAAACGGGCTGAATCTGGTCGTGGTCGGAAAATATATCTAAAATTATTAGCTACTTCGTTCATAAACACAGTCCTCAATGCGTCCATCTCATTCGCAGTTCGTCCAGGTCGCACTACATGTATGTCGGTGTACATACGTAAGTGCAATTGATACCTGATTGCACAACGTCGTTAACACGTCCCTAGCCTAAGTAGGATCTAGGTACAGCAGTTACGTTCGAAGTCTAGTAGGCCATCTCGTTGGAAGTACGTTGTCACACGATCTAATCACAGAACGGTTGTCGGCATCGTATGTTGAAATGATTCAAAATTCTAAATCACCTTCCCGTCCATGAAGTTCGTAAATAGACCCTAGAACGTTGCAGCTACGTTCGTTCCATTCGCACACAGTTTAAAACCAATTTGGCAACGTTTTGAAGAAAGCGGTGGCAACTAGGTTGGTATGATAGCTATATTTTTGCGAAGTCGTTCATAAGCAGTATTTAATTTAATCAGTTTAAACCCGTTTGCAATCAGTTCGTGTACCTCGTTCTCAATATACGTCCTTAGTAGGATTGAAGTACGTCTTAAGTACGTTGTCACTCGTTCACTCGTCACTCGTCCTCGTTCGGGTACGTTCATGAAGTTTGTAAATGGACCCCAAACGGTTCCAAGATCGTCCAATCCGCTCATACACAGTTCATGCCCGTTTTCGAGAGCGTAGTGAGAACTCGTTTTGTGTGATAGAAGGGTTAGCAAAATCAAGAAATCTAGCCATCATTATAATATTCAACCACTGCTTTACAAGTACGTTCTATAGATGTGAATATCCACTTTCAAAGAATTGTATAGTTTGTACACTTTATAAATATATAATATGATGTATCGTTTATACTGAGATAGATGTCACACGTTCAATATCCAATAATTAAACATATTCTATAAATCTCTGGTGAATATTTCATATTTATTCTATAATACTACTGTTTTCCCAGGGAAATATGAAGGAGTAAAAATCGTATTGAATCATATTACATGAAAAAAATCGTATTGTCCCCGGGAAAATATCGTGTTGGAGCATATTAACCTATTTTCGGTTTCCCGGTTATTTGCATTATCCAAATGTAGCATTTTAAAGGTCTGTATTATGGAATAAATAGGTTATTTCTGGTCGGGATTGAATATGGGTTTTATTCCTCTGAAAATATGACATTGACCTTGGGCTATATGATATTGACACTTGGTCGATGCGCTCCCTCGGTCAATATGGTATTACCCTTCGGTCAATATCATATTGTTCCTCGGAATAAAACCCATATTCAATCCCTCCCAGTGAATAACCTACAACCACTATTTTGCCATTATTCATTATATCTCAATAATTTGTTCAGCCTAGTTAAAAAATGTAAATATTTCTTCCCTGAAATTTCCATAAGAAATGACAAGAAATAAAAGTTTGAGAGCAAATAAGCTCTACTTACTATACTCTAGTACTGAACTTTCCTATACAAACGTTAATTTAACTCTAACTTTGACTTTTAACTGAAAATATGGCTTATTACTGAATTCCCTGGTCTCGGGTCACGATATAGATGGAGAGGGGAAATAGGTACACCCAACGACCGTATTCAATTTACATTAATTGCATGATTATTAGATCAACATTTTGTGAGAAAAATGTGCCAGATTCATAAATGTTACTGTAGTTAGAGCACTTTTCATCTCACATCGTGATCACCTTGTATTCATATAGAGTGTTTCATATATATGCACCCCCCCCCCCCTAAACTCGTACATGTAGTATTGCCATCATATCATGTTATATATTTCTGTGTAAATTCATCACTCTGGTAATATATTAATAATAACTTTAATCATCCAAGTAATGGATTAAATTAATATAACTGTGTACTTCCATTTTGAATGTAATCTTGATAAAGCTAGTTGGATGATTAGCGAAACGTCGAAAATAAAACATTTTACTCTGAAGTAAATGAACTTAAGTTATTATTATGTTATATATTGTTTTGTTCCTTATGAAACGTTACAAAAGATAAGGGTAATTTAATGGACAAAAGTTTCCGTATCGCACTTTTTTAACAGTTGTCATCATGGCAGAGTTCAGTCCAAATGTGTGTGACAGTCATACACTTATCACTTAAAATGGGCAGCGGACAAAGTGAATAGATCGCTTGACTTGGTCCAAAATGCTTGCAAATAAGGTTATAAATTACCCTATAACTGCATACTTAGATACATTGCATTTTTAGGAACAACCCTTGATTCTGAAACGTTAAACGATATGACAGTCTGACAATGCTACACATATCCCTGTATATCATAATTGCTTTGTGATGTTTCAGTGTTTAGTCAAAATATTTTTGTGAGTCAATCAAACAAATGCAAGGACAGACATTGTCATATTCCCATTAGATAAATTAAAAAACAAAGGCCATAACAATACACACCAATTGACCAGAGAGAAGCATTGTATACCGGTGTAAAAGGGTAGGAGGTCCTATCAAATTATGGTCCTACTCTCCATCGATTTATATGGTGACCTAAATACAACACTTTCCCTCATTATCTTATACGCAATCAGGGCCAGTAAGGGCCGTTAAGAAAGGGGACCATAATCCCTGGGGGACCATCATTTCTTTCACACCGGCATTATATAGGAAAACAGGGGCGTAGCCAGCTTTCAGTCAGGGGGGTGCGAACGCCAAAAGGAATTTCGGTTTTCAATCCGGGGGGTGCGAATGTGACATAAGCAAGGCAAAACAAAGTTTACGTAAGATTCGCATCCATCGCATCCCCCCCGGCTACGCCTATCATAGGAAAAGCATACGAAACTTCTATATTACAGATAGTTTTATTTGCGTTGGGGCTCTGGCTTTTTTTAATTTAAAGAGATTGAGCATTGTTAATTTATAATCTGAGACGTGCTTGGTAGCATGATAGAGAAACATCAACGTACAAGAGACCACGCATAACTTGTTAGTGAAACCAAAAACAATCCAAAATAGCAACCTAAAACGATTTTTATCCACGTATGATATTGTAAAGGTGGTTTTAAGATTGATACTTTGATTGACTCACAACAACATTTTAACTGTAGACGAAGCCACTGCATGTATTTTGTTGAATAAACATTCAGCTGTACAAACTTTTAAAATTCTACATAGACAAATCCTTTCTAAACTCGGGCATATGGAATTCTTATACATCTTTACATACTGTAAAACGGGTATTGTTAGCGAGGGGTAATTGTTAGCGATTGTTAGCGATCGCTATAGTTTCGCTAAAATAAACCGGGGTTGAAATAAACCGGGCGCTAAAATTTGCAAATTCCCGAGAAACGACATGAATACTAGTATTTAAGGAGCTTTTCGTTCAGTGCTCGACTTTCGGTTTGTAATTTGGGATTAGTTTGGACCGAAAAATCAACGATTTTAAATTCTACCGTGATTTTGTGATTAGTCAGATGAGATTACAGTAGTTTGGACCAACACCATGTGCGTTAGAAGTCTTACATTTTGATAATTCCTCTGTCATGTCCGTTATTCATTCTTCTGCCATAAATGATAAAATTTCTAATGCATTTCCCGGTGTCAAAATTACCCGTTTTACAGTAATTAGCATGTCGTGCTTTATCATAACACATAACCAAAACACAACATGACATGAATATAACACAAGTGATTTTTAGAATGGTATATTACTTCATTCCCAGACCTTGGATACAATAGGATCAATGTGTCAAACTCGTATGCATCTGAGTCATGATTTCGGATACCTATTCTTGGTTTCATTTTCGTTTTCAGGATTCCTCATTCTCCGCTACAGGTATCATTTACGAGGTTCAATCCCCATATCCTGGGTACTCTGCTTGGAGATCGATCAATCCATATACTGAATAGGCCTACTACACTACCCTTCATAAGTTTAGAAACTCTGTTCGGTTCCAGATAAAAAATCAATGATTCATCCTGTAGATTTACATTACATCCATATTATAATTGTTGTAAACGAATTATTGTGCCTGATCTGATATTTAATTTTTACTTTAGTTTTCATCAATTGTAAACGACCAATCATTATAAATTACATATTAAACTCAGATTAAATTAAATCAGAATTTTATCACTTTTATTCATCAACAGTTCATGAACAGAATTTTTATTCCATATATTTGCTGTTAAAATCTTTATGAAGTCCGATCATGCCTAGCACATGTCACGTGTTCGAATTCAACGTCTTCTATATTACGTTCGATGCGCGATAATGGGTGTAATTTCAAACTTATGGGGAGAAGTGTACGCGGAAGAAAGTGCATTTACTTCCTTGTTCAAGATAGCACATGATATGTGAATTTGTAAATTCAGTTTCACTTTAGTTGAAGACATCAAACATCATAAGACAATTTGCCTAACACTTCTAAGGTGGTCACTTTAAAGTCTCTCGTGGAATTTGGAAAATGGGCAATACATATCGATATAAGCCTACGCTAGCATGTGTAGTTTCTGCCTTAATGCTCTGCGTTTGGTGCAATGGACAGCTTTCAAATGCAGCACCCTCGGGGAATCAAAAAAAATACAATGGTCAAGACGTTTGTCAGAGTGGTGAGGACCATTGCAAAGACGCTAATGGGGAATCGTTCACTTTTAATGCTTCGCCACAACGAAAAGTTCCCGAAGGCGACTATCGCAATTGCGCAGACTCGAATGGAAAGATTCCCCAACGTCTCGAAGCTCTCCCTGGCGGCGCCTGGGATAACTTGCGGAATCTCGACATGGGACTTGTAGGAAAAAGAAACTATAGCAAATGTTTGACCACTGAAGATGAGAATTACCTTATACCCGACGGTACATTCGTTATCCCATTGAAAAAAAGTAATTTGGAAACATTCGCGGAAGTAATTGAACATTGGTCGAATTACACAAGCATGACGTCAAGTAGTATCAACGCTGATGCCCATGTACTCTCCTTCATAAGTGGGTCATTCTCGTCGACACACCAAAGAACGAAAATGCACCAATACAACGAAAAATCAATGACAACACGAGTTCAAATGCGCCATCTTTTATACACTGTAAAACTTTCAATGGATATTGAGCTAGAAAGGGCTCTTCAAAATCGAGTTCTGGACATCATTGGATATCTGCAGGATAATCGAACTAACGAGGCAGTCTATCAGACACAGCTGTTGGTGCGCGACTATGGCACCCATGTCATAACTAGCGTTGACGTCGGGGCTGTTCTTGCACAAGAGGACCAGATTAAACGATCATTTGTTTATGACCATCAAAATGAAAGGAGTAGCATTAAGGCATCAGCAAGTGCTGATTTCTTTGGAAAGGTCGGTTTTAGTGTTGGTGGTGGCTCTGCTAGTTCCGAAGCTATGGACAAATCGTATCGCAGCAGCCGAACATTTTCCAGGGTAATAACACACGGTGGACCACCATTTATGTCCAACTTCACATTAAATGATTGGGAAAGGGGACTTGTCAATTCGTTGGTTGCAATCGATAAAGCCGGAGACCCACTTCATTATTTTATAACTCCAGATAGATTCCCAGGAATTCCTATTCCCAGCGTTGATCGCGCTGCAGCATTGATTGAACAATCGATAGATCGTTACTACCGAATCAACACACGCTACGGGTGTACAAGCATGGACTCTCCGAATTTCAGCTTCGAAGCAAATTTAGAGGATGGGTCGTGTGAGTTACCCTTGACGAACTTTACATTCGGTGGAGTATTTCAAAAATGTGCTCTAATGCAACAACGTTCCGCGGGTGACATTTGCCCTGAGCTTGTCCAGAAAAACCCATTGACGGGAGATTTCTCTTGTCCGCCGCAGTATTCTGAAGTACTCTTGCATACTGGTGTTAAGACGAAAGGCGAGATGAGGAACGAGTGCAACGACAGATGCCATGATTGTGGGTTTCTAGGGTTATCTACCTGTTGCGATCGCGTTTGCGCCAATGTTCATTACTCTACTCAAGCCGAGTATCGGACCTACTGGTGCGTTGCTACGGGACACGTTAATGTGGATTCTGGGTTTCTCTTTGGGGGCATTTACACCACAACTAGCCAAAATCCATTGACGAAATCCGAAAAATGCCCTGTGAAGTTTTTCCCTTTAAAACTAGGTAATGGTGGCTGTATTTGTGTCAGTGACGACTATGAGCTCGGATTCCGTTTTTCAGTTCCTTTCGCTGGACTATTTAGCTGTACCGCTGGTAACCCACTCGTGCTATCCGGAAATATAGTCAGTAAACGTAGCGTTGACGCCCCACGCAGCATGATGACGTACCTTTCAGACGCAGGTCCTGCATCTTGGCCACATCGCTGTCCACCCGGCTATAGTCAACACATGGCGTCTATTGATGACGGATGTGAAATAGAGTATTGTGTGAAGGTCAACGCTCTATCTACACAAGGTTTGACACCAATTAAACGTCCCCCGTTCATTGATCCACCATACGTGAATCCTAATTACACCGATACGATGATGATTATCGGTCCTGCAGGAAAGGCTTGGGAAAAGAATAAAAGCCAAGAATGGAGGATTGTTACCGAGGCAGACGCGTATAAAGATTACCAGAAATCAAGCGGATCAAGTGAACCCCTCAGCGGTGGTGCAATCGCCGGAAAAGCGATTGGCGTGGTCGTGTTTGTTGCCTTGGTCGTTATAGTTATCGTCCTTGCTACAAAGGGCAGATGCACCTCGTGTAAGAGGTCGGGTCACAGCGAATTGAGAGACGACGACCACACTCCTGTGATGAGTGCGCAAGGCAATACACAACAGGGCACCAGTCGAGGAGGACTCTATGGGGCAACTCAAGATGGCGCCACCAATGCAAACAATCAAGACCCCGAAGCTTAGGCTAGATATCTCCAATTCTAAGTAGATAATAATTTGCAACATGAATGAACAATGAATGATTGTCCTGTTAGTACAATAAGAAACGCCCCATGACACGACACATCGCGTTGTTTGTGACTTCTGTCTTATTATGTTCAAAGCACCATTATACATAGTGCACTTTTATATTACGGGTGTCCCAAAAATGATATTATACTTTGCGGTAAACAAAAATGTTAAGAAAAATTAAAGAAAATTATCTTAAAATCCTCAAGAACTGTGAGAACATCCCAATTTGTGGGCATAAATGACTGAATTAGTCTAAAATGGATTGAAAAAACGAAAATAATATTTTTCTTCAAAATTTTGGGCGCCTCTTACATTATGAAAGATTATTCCAGGATATCCTATATACATGTCCTTAGTTGGTATACCGTCGTACAAATGACCCAATATATAGTGGGGAGATCTCATTGAGTATTAGCCGCCTTATCTAATGCTTATGTTTTTTATTGAATAGATACTAAACTACTAATAAAGTAATTAAATGTTTAGTTTACTCTTTATATTTGTGTTATATCCATAAGTTAAGTACAGCTTAATGTAGAGACAATGAAAAATGTGTCGTCGATTTACCGTTTTGTGATTTAACTGACATTACATATAGGCCTAAGGTCTCATTATTGAAAACTATAATACCCTTACCTTAGGCCTAAAGTATATATAGCATATAACAGACCTTAGGGGGTAGGTTGAGAATGTAACTGAAAAGTTGAGAACATATTTTGGTTAGAATGTTTGTTGTATTATAATTACAGCTCGAGTATTTTGTCCCCTGTGCCTTTAAACTCAGTCTACTATCTTGATATGTATTAATAAAAACATAGTGTTCTGATAAGAACATAGTGTTCTGATAAGAAAAAAGAAATCATACCTCAGCTGCAATCATACCTCAATCTAACCCTACTATCACACCCAACTAGTTCTCACTACGTTCTCGAAAACGGGCTTAAACTGTGCACGAATGGATTTGACGTACTAAGAACCCACTAAGAACGGTTTGGGATCAGTTTACAAACTTCATGAAACTACTAGAACGAGTAGGTCCTCCATAACTTAGAGCATGCTTAATATTTTCTGGTGATTGTCAAAACGTTGCCTAATCGGTTTTAAACTGTGTGCGAACTGAATAAACGTAGCTACAACGTTCTACGGTCTGTTTACGAACTTTATGGACTTTCCCGGACAGGGAATGTGATTTAGAATTTTAAATCGATTCAAAATTCGATGGCGACCATACCGTTCTGTAATCAGGTCATGATGACCTTCTAGGCTAAGGGACGCGTTATACGACATTGCACACCGACGCGGTGTGACCTGAACGCACTGCGAATGAGATGGACGTATTGAAGACTGTTTATGAACGAAGTAGCTAATTATTTTAGACATATTTCCCGACCACAGCCAAATTGAGCCCGTTTTACGATGTTTTCGTAGGACTGGCAAGAACGGGTAAGAACTAGTTTGGTGTGATAGGGGGGTAAAATGTGTTCCCTCATTTTGCGATTGTAAACGCTTGAAAATGAATTTACCCTTAACCGGCTTATGCTATTGGAATAACACTACCGGTTGGGTCTGCCCCCCCCCCCCTCATATCACAGGGCCTCGAGTGTTCTTGGCTCTTCCGACTCTTGCCGAAGTATTCCGACTCTTGCCGAAGTATTCCGACCTGAGCTAAGTATTCTGAGTTTACTTATTTTTTCAAATACATTCGATAGATGTCTAAGTTGGTTTGTTATCATTTTGTCTTTTGATTTATTTTATTCGATATGTGTCTCCTAATGTTCACTCTGGCAGACTTTGCTAATACATTAGGATGCGTTACGTCTTATCGATAAGCTGGATTCATTTTATTCGAAAGATGGGCTGTGTCACTCTGGTAGAAAACCATGTGTGTTTTTTTGTTTTTGTTTTTATTTTTGCTTTTGAAATTGCTTTGTATACATTTTTAACCCATTATGGGTATGCATGTGTTATAAATATAAAGTTAATAAATCCAATACAATCGCTGGTTGACTTTGCTAACTTAGTTCTATAACGGATACGTTACGTCATATTACGGCTTTACCATATTGATTGTGATTTTTCCTTTTATATAAGTAATCTCAGGTTCCGACCCCCATCACCCCACCTTTGCTTACGTGTGATTCAACAAACTCCGTGCACTTGTTTATTTGTTATTATGCATTAAGGCATGATTTACCATTTCGATTTGCTTGTATAGAGATTCAGGATGTTCTTCAACTTCTTTTGAATCCCACCTTAAAAAATGAACTACTATATGTCTCTTTTTTACTCTGCCAAATTTCATTGTATTGAAGATATAAAACTGTTGGAAATTGATCGAAGGGTATGGCTTTATACCTAAAACATCAACCAATTCTCCAATATAGTTATCATCTGGGAAAATGAATGGAGTCCTACAGAACATAGCATTCAGCTCAATAGCTAAATCCATGGAGACAGCAAAGCCTGAACCTGCCGCATATGGCGAGAATATTTCATTGGGCCATTCAATGGAGCACTTAAACGTCCATTTTCCTGTTTTATAATGTGTGATATTCCTATAGATTTCACCTAAGTAAATTCTAGTTACCTCTGAATCAAACAACTCTCCCGATATTTGTACAAATTGAGGGATATTCACTACTGTGTCATGGGTGGCCCGCATGATAAGCGAAGCATGTTGACAAAATTGCTGGGCCCATCGGTAACCTGTCATTGTTTTGCTAGTCAAATTATTGTAGCCATCACTAAAACTTCCTTGAATTATATCTCTGTATTGGTGACTTTCGTGTGAAATGTTTGCCATTCTGTCAGCATTTAGTGATATTCCAAGTATGAAGGCAGTTCTTATAGACCAGCCATTGTGTTCTGTTATATTTGCCCATGTGGCTCTTATAGCCCTCCTGAAGATATGACCACTATCTGAAAGTAGCAATCAGTTCTTTAAATGAGCACAAGTACCAAATAGGGAAAGGACCAAAAGTTGCAATGTAACCTAGCAAGCAAAAGCAAACTCTAAATGTATACCAATGCAGACTTGCCAACCTAAAATGAAAAATTTTCGGGAGATTTAAAAAAAATTGCGGTACTTTTACGGGAGTTTTTCTTCAAAATCCGGTAGTTTTTGCAGGAGTTTTTTGAAAAAAAGCGGGAGTTTTTACGGGAGATTTTTGAAAAAACAACCTAGTTTTTACTGGAGATTTAAAAAACGGGAGTTTTTGCGGCAAATTTAGAAAAAACAGGAGTTTTTACGGGAGATTTTGAAAAAACGGGAGTTTTTACGGGAGATTTTTTTAAAAAAGGTATTTTTCCGCGTTAAATTTTAAAAAACGTGACTTTTTTACGGAAGATTTCAGAAAAACGGGAGTTTTCGCGGTAGGTTCTGAAAAAACGGAAGATTTTACGGTAGTTTTTTAAGAAAAACGGGAGTTTTTACGGTAGATTTCTGAAAAAATGGAGTTTTTACGGTAGATTCTGAAAAAAACGGGAGTTTTTACGGTAGATTTCTGAAAAATTGGAGTTTTTACGGTAGATTTTGAAAAAACGGGAGTTTTTACGGTAAATTTCTGAAAAAACTGGAGCTTTTTCTTTAGATTTTGAAAAACGGGAGTTTTTACGGTAGATTTTGAAAGAACGGGAGTTTTTATGGTAGATTTCGGAAAAAACGGGAGTTCTTACAGTAGGTTTCTGAAAAAACGGGGTTTTTTACGGTAGATTTTGAAAAAACGTGAGTTCTTACGTGAGTTCTTACCTCAATCTGTTTGAGGTTCCATTTTTAGGTTCGGTTTTTCGCGCATGAGCATTAAATCCAGCGATTTAATTGGTTGAAATTATTATGACGCTTGCGCAGTTGATAAATCAATTAGAACTTATAATCTAAGATAGATGTCACTTGCGTTCATTATTTCACAGCAGTCCCTACCCATAATGCGCCTTATATTGCGGGAATATTTTGTTTAGCGCCATATAAAAACAAAAATGTATTCTCCCGACAGAAGTATGACAGAATATGAACTGGCCCCCGTTTGTGGACATTTGGTGCGCAAACTTATACCGAACTGATCGCAGAAAAGCAATTTGAATCATGGGAATGAAGTACTTTTAAGTTATTTATGAAAGTATCGATAGTGAAACATGGGAGCCAATCCTTCTTGGAGTAAAAAACAGAGATTTTACGGGAGTTATACCAAGAATATGGGAGATTTTACGGGAGTTATACCAGAAAATGGGAGATTTTACGGGAGTTATACCAAGAATACGGGAGATTTTACGGGATATTTCAGCAAAAATATGGGAGATTTTACGGCCATATTTTTAAAAAAATTACTGGAGATTTGGGTAGAAATACGGTACGGGAGTTTACGGGAGAAAACGGTACGGGAGTTTGGTGTTGCTTACGGAAAAACAAAAAAATTACGGGAGATTCTAAAAAACGGGAGGTTGGCAAGTCTGCCAATGTGTATATTGGTATATCCTTAATAGATTTTAAAATGTCGAAAGGCTTATGGTAGAAGATTTTGAAATTAATATGTTAGCAATTACTCTGGTGATCCGCTCGATTACGCTGGTTACCGAAACGGTAACAAAATGTCGGAACGCCGAAGGTACGATTTTTCTTTTTTCCTTATTTTACGCTTTGTAGGCAGAATCTCCACGACGTTTTTTCTCACAAACGTGTATCAGTATCATATGTTTTAGAAAATGTAAATGTTTGCGAAAATAGCTCAGAAGACAACAGAATGGTCGATTTATTTCCTCACTTAAGTTACATAAACGGTTTGGGTTAAAAGTGCAGATCTTAACTGTTTCTCGAAAAACCGTTTCTGTAACTTAAGTGAGGAATTAAATCGACGATTCTGTTGTCTTCTGAACTACACTTCCCTCCATAAGTTTGGCAACCTTAGCTCCCCCATTGAACTAAGCTTATGTGTTAAAGCCTCTTTACCTTTGAATTTTTATTTACTTAACATGCGATGAAAATACTTATACTATTGATGGAAACGTAACTTTACTTTATTTCCAATACCTCCAAATTTTCTCAATTCTTTCTTTTCCTCAATTACAATAAGTCCAAAATTTAGATGAATTTTTGAAAATCGACATTCCCATGTTAACCTATAGGAAATGGTAGGTTTGCCGCAAGTCATATGACAGAATATCCATCCATCCGAGTCCTTGCGAAAAATACGAGTTAGGCAGGCAATTGAATTTGCTAACTTTATTTAACAAAAAATTGATATGTTTCTTCAGGTTCAACAAAGTTATAGGGCTATAAAGTCAAAATTGTTTTTCAAAAATCTCTCCTATCGAAATAAAACAGGAGGCGAAAAATTGTTTTCAAAAATGACTTTGAAGCGCTGTAACTTTAGTATTTATCAAATAAACTAAACACTTAGCGTACAAAAAAGTGAGACAATTTAATTTTCTATATCAATTTTTTTTTGCTGAATCTTTTACTGAAAAGATATCCTGATTTCTGATTTGCACCGAACCCTCCATTTTCCATTGGATTACATGGTAATGACAATTTCAAAAATTCATCAAATTTATCATCAATTTTCGACCTATTGTAATTGAGGAAAAAATGAGAAAATTTGGAGGTATTGGAAATAAAGTCAAGTTACGTTTCCATCAATAATATACTTAGTAAGTTATTTCATCGCCGGTTAAGTAAATGAAACGTAACGAGGCTTTAACACGTAGTTCAATGGGAGAGCTAAGGTTGCCAAACTTATGGAGGGGAGTGTATTTGTTCGCAAATATGTACATTTTCTTAAATATATGATACTGATACACGTTTTGTATTAAAAATGTCGTGCGAACTCTGCCTACAACATGTGAAATAAGGAAAAAAGAAAAATCGTACCTTCGATGTTCCGACATTTTTGTTACCGAAAAGAACCGTGTCGGTAACCAGCGTAATCGAGTGAATCACCAGTGAATTATGAGGAAAGGCCCAAACTGTCTAAAACGACAGTTTCCATAGTAACCAATGAAATATGTCATTTATAAGCAGAATATGTTTTTATATTTAACCTTTCTTGTACTTGTTATAGTTAAAAAATGTTCATGTAGAAAGTGAATTTTTGCCTTTTAAAAATTTGAAAAGTTGCGAGCAGTTCTTTCAATTTTGGATAAGGTATTAAATGGTTATTTAAGATGGGAGTTACAGCTATTGCCTCGTTAATCTTCTTTGATTCAAAGTAAGCCTAGCTATATTATGAGTATTTTTTATTGAAAACAATGAAGAAAGAACTTTTGACTTTTATATTTGTTTTAAATAATTTCACTAATGCCCGGGTCACATTTGCTCCGATCCATCGGCCGGCGCCCGTCCGATTGAGTGTTCTGTTCAATATTGTATACAATTTTGAACAAAATACTCAATCGGCCGGGCGCCGTAGTGAAAATCGGCTCAAATGTGACCAAGGCATTACCAGTGTATAATGATATAATCAGGGTGCTACTGTTAAAAAAGTAAAATTAAGTAAAGTAAAATTAAATGAACAAAGCCTCACCTAAAGTATCTGTCATGATAACAATCAGAATAAGTTTCTCTTTCCCTGAATTTCTTTTGCATAAATCCTTTGGAGAATGAATATATCTGATGTCATCTAAGTAGGCAAAATTGTTGTGTGATAAATCAAAGAACTCTTTTGGTTGCGAGTGATTTTGCTTTGGAACAGTCTTGGGCAGCTTCCTTGTAAGTTCTTCACACGTTGTTGGTCGTGGGTTCTCCTTTGGTTTTGAACCCATCATTGATGGCCTATGGGTCCCTTTACTGAAATGATATATTATAAAAAGATAAACCATACCACAAGTTAGAATTATAACATACACTGCATTGCGAGGCATCGTGGATTACTGTTCATCTGGCTTGATAGCAACTTATTTTAAAATGCAATATATTGATATATGGCCTTGGATCTATATTTTCATTTGTCGACTCCAAGTTTTGATCCATAAGTTCATTGTGTTAATCCTAAGTCCATTGCATTAAAACTGCATCTAAACTGCAACCAAACTCCTATTGTTACTTGCTGGAATTACACATGACGTTTCACAAAAGCTTCTTCGGTTTTAACCAGGTTTAAGAATTAGGTGTAATCACGATTGCGGTTTTACAAAAGCGCTTTTCTAAAACTCCAAGAACCCTTGTCACTAGTAAACGGCATAAGTCGTTCTTAGGCGATTAAGTGTGCAGTGTAATACCGATCGGTTTTTGTAAGACGCCTTACCCGGGGTTTTACTAGTTTTTAACATTTGCCCTAAACGAAATATTTGATACATTTGAAACATTTGATACATGATGAGACTTACGCCACAAAATGTGTAACAAATTAACAATGCGTGCGCGAGCTTTTTGCGACACGTCTATGTAACTGGTTAGGAACTAAATCCATTTATTAGTGTTCGTTGTCACGGACTTTATTACGATTTTTGTTTTAGACGTTTCGATCATGCATTTTGCTATCGAAACGTCTAAAACAAAAAATTGTAATAAAGTCTGTGACAATGAACACTAATAAATGGATTTAATATTACCAGACTATGAATTTATTTAATGTGATCAGGTTAGGGACTACTCTTGTAAGTTTTCAATATTTCCCTTTTCTTATATTTTACTTTGCTTTGTTTCTTCTTTTTTCCTTGCCGATGTATCTTTTTACTTCCTTTCTTTTTTCAGAATATTTTATCTATAAAGGTAATATTGCTATAAGCTCGTGTTATATTTGTCGCATTTTCATAGCAAAGGGCTATGAAAGATATCGCAATAAATTTCAAACAATCATATTTTTGATTTTGGCTATTTTCTGAAGTCAGGTGCATAAGTTAAACCGATGCATTACACTCCCTCCATAAGTTTGGCAACCTTAGCTCCCCCATTGAACTACGTGTTAAAGCCTCTTTACGTTTGAATTTTTATTTATTTACCTGCGATGATATAACGTATAATATTGATGGAAACGTAACTTGGCTTTATTTCCAATACCTCCAAAATTTCCCAATTTTTCCCTCGATTACAATAGGTCGAAAATTGATGATAAATTTGATGAATTTTTGAAAATCGTCATTATTTTGTATTTTCTGCACATACCCTTTATGCTAAATAAGCAAAACTAAAAATTGAAATCAAATATAAATGACATATAGTGTTCTAGTATGAAATCAAACGTGTCCTTGTTTTGCAGTTTTCTCACTAAGATAGTAGAGGGTTTAAGCTTAGCTTGCGATATTTTTCATAACGTAACCGTGAACGCAAAGCTAATGAATCAATACAGTACTGTAACGACCCTTGGGCATGCTCGTCGTGTACCGAGCCAGATACTAGACTCGAAAGAGAATGTGCTAAATTCAATGCCCCGTACGGGAATCGAGCCCAGGACCTCCCGCTCTCGAGTCAGACGCTCTACCCCTGAGCCATAAAGGCTAGGCACTACAGCTGAGACTGTAGCAGCGACTTGGTATCGAAGGTCATTACACCACTGTATCGCGCATACAAAACAAGCGCTACTTAGTCTACTTCAAATACCTGATCAGCTTCCGAGCTGTGTTTAGAACGAGAGATTTGCAATTTCACGTTGGTGTCAACAGGAATCATTATACTCATGTCTATTGAATACTATGCTTTTTGATTTCGATGCTCAGTATAATGCTTTCTGAAGAAAATAATGTGTGTCATTCATGTTTTAGCTCCAAATGTCTTACGAAACGAGCTTGTATGTATCATAGAAAACTAGCTATATATCTACAGTATCAATGGCATATTGCACGATGATGTGTAGTATATGTAATTGACTAATAATTATGTAAGAAAACGATATGCATATGCATTGTATAGGGCAACTTGTGCGTGCGTACAGGTTGACGTTTCGATTTTATATGCATTGCTTAAAGTCTCTACTATTGTAATCTTTCAATGAATGATCTCGGGTATGAAAAATCATAATAGGGATTATAAGGCATCATTGAAAAGGTGTTCCAAGTATTTTCATCCTCCGATTGCAGGGCTCCCAAGATCCAAAACATAGATTCAACAAAGCATCAGGGGTACTTTGGGTCAGGATCTGATACTGTAAGTTTATGTAGAACTAAGTGCTGGCTTATATGGGACTTCCTCTTTACAGTCTTCTTGTTACCTCTCTTGCAATAATTGGAGGAAAATTCACTTGTAGACTGGCATACCCTTCACCGCCGCCTCTTCCGGGCTCATTCGAAGTCGTTCATATTTTGGCTCTTCTGCTGTATCTATAGTGGAATAAATGTCATCATGTATTTCATTTTTAGTCACCATTGCTTCATTTTGGTAAATGACTGTTGATGTATCATCTGTTACACCATCATTTAATGTTGGTTTGCCTTCGTTAATACCTGCTTGGCCTTCTGGGGCATCGGCATTTGGATGATCGTCGTTATATGTTCTCTCTCTGTACTTGCAAGTACACATCACTCCGATTATAACGCACGCTAGTAGCAGTAATAAACCCAAAATGACGGTAACAACTGTTAGATGGTGAATGGGTTGCGCATATTGAGCGAGTCGGGTTGGCTTTTGGGAAGGTGAGGATGTTGGACTTATTGTACTTGCTTTTGTTGTTGTTGTTGTTGTTGTTGTTGTTGTTGTTGTTGTTGTTGTTGTTGTTGTTGTTGTTGTTGTTGTTGTTGTTATTGTTGTAGGTACTGTTGTTATTGGTACTATTATTCCTGTTTCTTTGTACATTAAAGCATAGACGTCAACAATATGAACGGTGGACATCAACTGGAAAATGTAATCATTATCAGAGTCATTCCATTCACATTGCTTTATGTAACAAGGAAATGACACGGAGGGATAATAGTTGAAAACATTTCCTTTGTTTTCACATGCACGTTCCATGCATTCTCTAAGATTTGCAACTGAGACTGGATCAGTAGCAAATGTACAGTTGGAAAATTGCCTACGTGACCATGTTCTTTTCATAAAATATGAGTTCGTACATCCACGTGTGTAAGGATGCGGCTTGGCATACACACGCCCCGTGTTACCCGTCCACTGCCATGCATAATCCCAATCTAGTTGCGCTTGTTGGGATTCGCATTTATATATGTAACAATGATGAGCTTGTCTATAATATACCACATTCCCACCCTGTTGGCACGCCTTAATGAAACATTGCAAGCGTGAGCTGACAGCCGGTGGAGAGTAAACTTTCTGCAAAACCTGACAACCAGGGGCGAAGCCATCTCGTCTAACTAAAAGGTAGTCTCCAGTAAAACAATCGGCCATGGCTGCAAATAAATAATGATGATAAGTACTAACCAAAAAAAGTTCGAAATGATTCTCAAAAACCTTCATTGAACTTATGAACTCATGATGCTAAGTCATTGGTCAATGGTGTATGTCCCCATGTTAAAATAAAATAACATGGGGACATTCACAAGTTGCAAATTAAAGTGGGGGGGGGGGCATGACGCCATTTGAAACTTCAGGCCTGATTTTAAAGACTTATCGTGAATGACATCTCACCATTATCTCCTGCAGACGGACGACTTACCGACGAAATTATTTTATCATCTCTATGAGTGCTTTTCCTGGAGGCAATGCATTTATCTAACATATGCACCTGTTTTAATCCCCAGAAAATAGCTAAAATCCAACATGTGACTGTTCGAAATCTGTTGCGATACTTTCCCTCGTCCTTTGGTGTTGCTTCACCATTGAGTTAATCAAAACGACACCGAAATAATGATTGCATCACGAATAAATTGATTAAATCAAAATAGTGAATTATCACTTGAATTATCCCATTGTTTGATAATCGAACAAATCTCTTACCCCCATCTCCACGTGCACGTATTGCAAAATACATCAAATATATACTACATTGCACTAGCCTTGGCAAGAGCGATGTCACTTCCATGTTGATTTTTAGTTTAATGAGTTAAAAAATAGTCAGACAGATCAGAGTTGATGAACACGGAAATAAAAAATAAATTATAATCCATCGAGTACATGTTCTTGAAAAAACGTAAATATAGGCCTGATGTTTTCAAATTTAGACACTCCGTTAAAATATCATTGATCGTTGTCAAGGGCTATCACGATAAAGTGATAAAGGCAACCAATGGAATAACTGTTTTAAGGTGGTTGTCAACCTCCGCAGAATGCTAAAATAACTTCGAATAAGTGGATCAAAAATATTAAAATGTTCATGACGAAAATACCCTGCGTGCAGAGTCTAGTTAAACTACGAAGACGAAGCTCTCTTTTAAGAAGTGAAGTCAAACGAATGCAAAGGGTATGACGAAAAGAGTGTGATATGTAGAAATGGAAACTGGTGTGATATCACGAGCTGTATAATGAATCGGGGGAGTTTTTTCAAACATTTCCCTTGTTTTTCATTCAAAAACGTCAATGCACTTTAAAATATTTTATTAACTATAAGATTGCACCATATAATCCCAAAGATATTTCTCATTTTCAAGGATTATCTGTGGATTAACACCCGGGTATTTTCATTTTCCAAACGTCAGAGGACTGGGAATCACTGATCCTTTTCGCCTTTGAATAATATAAATGCTGTTTTAAATAGGTACGTCAATAATTTCTCAAATTGTGTAAATGATACCCGTACCTTAATCCCCAAATTTTATCTTAGAAATCCAATGGTACAATTCCAAGCAGATTTTGAAATAACAGGAAAGTAAATCTTTAATACACATGAATGAATGAATGAATGAATACTTTGATACGTTTCACTCGATTTGCCCAAATCTAACTGTATTGACTACCGAAGAAAAGGCTTATTATATGTTTAATGCTGAGGGTAACATGTGTATCACCTTTGCAAAATACCTTTATGAAATAATTGAAAAGAGATCAACTATATTATCAATATAAATATATACATGTAGGCTAATAGTAGTTGTTGGTATATATCTAATGATCAGTCAATCACATTATATTGCCATTATATGCCATGTAAAATTTGCATTGTATGTTATTGTAATTGTATGTATAGTTTTATTTTTATTTTATCATGTTTATTTGCTGTACACTCACCCGAAAGGGATTTTTAGTACAATAAAGCATTGAATAAAAAAAATACACATCTTATTGGGTTGTTTTGATTTATCGCAATTAACCTACATTTCAAAATCTGTCTATTAGCCCGCATATTTTTACAATTAACAGACTTTGATATAAGGCTTCTTTCCTAAAAAATACCAGGGCTTGAAAAAACTGCTTATTATCCAGTCAGAAGGGCCAAAATAAGGGGTTGCTGCACTTTTTAAAAGACAATCCATTCACTCAATAGGAAGTTTAAGCTGATAGTACGTCGAAACGCTAACTAACTCGTATGACCAATCACCCATACAAATGCATTTCTTAAATATTTTCCGGACACATTTAGGTTGTGAAAAACAATGCAAGCTTAAACTCCCCATTGTGTAAGTGGTTTTCTACAAGCTCTAGTGTTTGCAAAAATTGTTTGTTTCAAATGCGTTAAATATGTCATTATGCAAGGTAAAGATAGAAGGCATTTGATTTGCTTTGAAAACAATATTTATTCTGGGTTGCTCTGGACATTTGTGTGGGGATGGACTGTATAATATGCTAAAGAAATTCCCTAGAATCTGACCATAGATCGATAGATTTTATTGTGGATGCTAGCACAAAGTGGCAATATTAGAGTAAGAAGTCACTTGTTAGGGTTTGCAAACTTTTTGGGTGTTATAATATGACAGACCTGGAGTGAATTCATAAATCATGAGTCATTGGTCCACAGACCTTCAACATCACAACAAATATAACATAAGAAATGTTGATTAGTTTTGTACCTATATTTTATGAAGATCACAGATGATCAAATGCTTGATACAGACATAAACATTATTGGATCTTATAAGGGAAACATTATAGTTGAACCATTAACCAAAACTGCACAAATTGTAATCATTGTGAACACACATTATTGATGGTATCATTATGGATGGCGTAATCAACAATTCTTTTACTTTTAAATGTATCTAGTGTTTAAAATGAGACAAATCAGGCATTGCATTGAGTGTGTGTGATTCCATTTATAAGATCCCAAAATGTATAGTACGAGGGATGGCCAATAAGTAATCGACACTTATTTGGACTTACTTATTGACAACCCCTCGTATGTATGACAGTATGAAGTATGATATAAAAGATGACTGAAGTGTACTTGGTACAGACAAGTTTTAACTTGGCTACTTCTACAGCTAAAAACAGTGAATCCACCATATAATGTGAGGGCATCAAAGCTTTATAATATGAGGGCATCAAAGCTGTGTTAATTAAAAACATTTAGACAGAAATTTGTAATAAAATCTCTTTTAAAAACACTCTTGAATGACTTTATCTTGAAAGTTATAATCCATCAAAACATTCTTCATTATGTTCAACCTTGAGTGGTACAGAGGTGTTTAACTTACAGAGGTGTTTAACTCATGGAGGTGTTTTACTTATAAGTGTACAAATAAATTCAAAGGTTCTATCATTTCAAAACCGTCACCTTATGAATATATATGGTGGATCTGACATAAGCATTTGTGATATTTACAAAGCAAAAAAATCAACAATATTCAATCGCCAACAAAAATGAAATCTACATCTAAAAGTCGTATAAATCATAACTAAAACTTGTTAATATTATCGCCCATTATTAATATGAACGACTAAAGATATACATCATAAATTTAATTTTTACAAAGTGATTTTTACAGTGCTTATAAGTTTATATGTGATATGACTTTATACAATGCAGAATATATAAATTATGACATCTACTGTACATAATACTCGAAAATATAACCTATATTAAAATATTAGACATTCAATGTACATTTTTATCCTCGCATATGTACAGTACACGCATTTACATGTAACATTACATTTACAAAGATTTTCCTATACTGATTGATTTGGTCAAGAAATAAAGGTTCTCTTCACTCCTTTCTAACTGCTGATATTCAGGGTGTCTATAAAGTCCCTTTATACTTCCAATACAAAGTCTGTGCAAAGTGAAGAGACTTATGGACACCCTGTATCATATATTTCAGCTCAGAAATAAGCTACTGATTCAAAAGCAAATTGGCTCATTTAGAGTTCAAATATTTCAATGTAGGGATAACATATATCATAAGCCTAAAACATCCAATTTAACAGGAACAAAATTAACAAATCCATAAAATTCAATCTCAAGATAATTGTAAATAATTTTTACAAGGGCTCTTAATTGGGTGATTGTTAATTATTTCCCATAAATGCAAACCTAAATTTGGTTCCCAGTCTGATGCCCAGCCGCAGAAAATGTGACCAATTAATAAACTGATGAATGTTAATAAATGGATGACCTAAACCTAAAATGGGGCTGTACATTGGATTGTGATTGAATTATTGAAGTATAAAAATTGAACTGTTTCGCTTTGTAAAATACAATGGTACTTTAGTACATTGCATTGCCTCAAAAACTGGCTCATAAATTTGTATAACACACTCATTTAGCCATTTCTTGGGGGCTGTGCCATATACTATGTGATGGTTTTTGTGTAAATCATGTGATCTGATAATTATATTCAATGATATGTGTCAATTAATAATTTCATTTGGTAATTAACTTTGTCACACACAATCTACAGTTTGTTGTTAAGACAAAAAATTAGGACCCTGTAGTAGGATGTCAACTAGAAATGCTTAAAAAAGCTAAATTCATCATGTAAATGTACCACCCTGTACACCCCTTTAACAGTAACATACAGGGTGTTCCAGAAGTGTACCAAAATTATGTGTAATAATTCATGACATTGAAATATAAGTGTATAGGACAACTTTCTAATCATAATCAAAAATTCTTCTCCAAAACATAAAATGTAATTACACAATTTTTGAAATATTCAAAACCAAATTTCATGAGGACTATTTAAAATAAAATTATGTTTGTACATTGTAGAAAAAATAAGAATTAGGAACATCTATTAAAATTGTACACTATTAAGGATAGTGAAATGCATGAAGTGCTTTATATCACTTAATAATAAAATTGTAAAGCTGTGTATATGTTAATATATAAATGGATACTTCAACTGGAGTCATCTGGGTAATTATTACATTACATACATACTTCTGAAACTGCATAACATAATAGATATGTATAATACCTTAATCCCTATCACATATATTAATGTCACAATCATTCTGGGCAAAGTTTAATGTCCTTTCACTGATTCCCAAAATTTCAAAAGATAACATACAACCATGCATCTCTTTCAGAACATATAATCAATGGACGATTGTTGAATCTTCATATTCCTATTTGATGTTTTCATAAGACTTCATGAAGACTCTTGCGATCTAAAAATGCACAGCTTATGGAAATGCATAGCCTTAAAGGAAATGCATGACAAGCATGTCATCTTTAGGTAAAATAAAATGCAATCCATCTTTAATCATCCATTTAAAGCTGCAATGGATTTCTTAATATCAAACAGATTCTTAAGCTTCTAAAAAAGGTCGTACCCAAACCTGAAGTCCCGTGACTCCACAGGCAGAAAGGAGAAACTTCTTTTATTTCATAAAACATCATAAGTTTATAACTATCTACAAATTATAATATATCATGAAACCTGATATGATTTTGTCTATTGATATGTTACTATTGGAGGCACTTTTTAAGTGGACAAACGACTAAAATGATGATATATCAACTACATGACTGTCTTAACTAACTATACACACTAATTCTATTGTACAAATCACATTTTCTAAAGCTCAAATGGCTTTGTTTTTCCCATGTTCCTCAAAAATGTTCAAAATACTTATAAAATCTTGGCTCAACATTAAAATGTTACATCCTCAAGTCTGTCTAGTTTATATTAAAATATATCCTGACCTCCCTTCTTTAAATGGGACGTCCCAAAGCCAAATGAAGGTCAAGCTGGGGTCCCTTCAAGGAGGAATGTTAAAGTATAAAAATAAGGGGTATAAGGGTTTCTATACAGCAGTGTCAGAACCAGGGTTAACACCTTGTTGGTTTACATCGTTGACATTGACGCCATATGAAAAGCCACCTGGTGGTGCATTTTGGTACTGAGGAGGTCGGCGATCGTCATGTCCATTCTGAAAGTATAAAAATATATGATTCAAATAAGGAAATGTTTTTTATGCTAGATAGTGAGAAGAATACATATCACTGGACACCCTGTAAAAACAAACCAAGGGGTTCTAATTACTTCAAGGGAGATTTAGATCTTGAGTGTGGGCTTAACAAAAAACTGTTTCAATTTTAGAATATTTTGGACGCATCATTCATTCATACTTATTTTTTATAAATGTGGTTACCATTTTTATTATTTGAGAGAATTTAAACATTTTTCTTCATTTTTGCACTTTGAATCTTAAATAACTTCACCATTACAATTTTTGGAAATCATTTCAAAAAATCATAATTTCAGCTTACAGAAAACAGAGAGGAGTGATAGTGTCAGGGATAAAAATGAGTTAACTATTTATACTAATTAGAAAATGCCTAAAATGTTAAATAAAAGAAAACACAAAGTTAAAATTCAGTGTCATCTCAGGATCATTTCATATGTTTCAAATGTAATTCTACATGTAAGCCATTTCACTCATGGCTGAATCACCCACCCATCCTTCTTAAGGAAAATAAAACTTTTTGGAAATATGAAAGAAATGGAAAACTCAAGGAAAAATCATCAAGCCTTTCACCACTCATGTGGAACATTAAACCGATTATGTGTAGAATTTACAGTGAAACTTATGAAACAGTGCCTTGTTCATGCAGACACCTTTGAACTTTTTTTTTTTCAGTTGCTTAATCTAATTGGGTTTGGTATATCTACAAGGAATATGACATCATGTTGTTTAATTCATGCATGCAGTTAGTATGTTAATGCTGTTGTTTTTGTGTACTGTGTGTTGTCGGTCCTGCAAATGTGTCACTTCAAAACGGCAATGTTAGTAAAAAAGGGGATCTCTGTGAGAGAGAATATCCTGCAATCCATTCCAATTTAAATGGCAATGTTAGTAAAAAGGGGTATCTATGTGAGAGAGAATATCCTGCAATCCATTACAAAACTGCAATGTTAGTAAACAGGGAATCTATGTGAGAGAGAATATCCTGCAATCCATTCCAAAACTGCAATGTTAGTAAACAGGGAATCTATGTGAGAGAGAATATCCTGCAATCCATTCCAAAATTGCAATGTTATTAAACAGGGGTATCTATGTGAGAGAGAATATCCTGCAATCCATTCCAAAATGGCAATGTTAGTAAACAGGGGATCTATGTGAGAGAGAATATCCTGCAATCCATTCCAAAATGACAATGTTAGTAAACAGGGGTATCTATGTGAGAGAAAATATCCTGCAATCCATTCCAAAATTGCAATGTTAGTAAAAAGGGGTATCTTTGTGAGAAAGAAAATCCTGCAATCCATTCCAAAATGGCAATGTTAGTAAAAAGGAGTATCTATGTGAGAGAGAATATCCTGCAATCCATTCCAAAGTGGCAATGTTAGTAAACAGGGGTATCTATGTGAGAGAGAATATCTTGCAATCCATTCCAAAATGACAATGTTAGTAAACAGGGGTATCTATGTGAGAGAGAATATCTTGTAATCCATTCCAAAATGACAATGTTAGTAAACAGGGGTATCTATGTGAGAGAGAATATCTTGCAATCCATTCCAAAATGACAATGTTAGTAAACAGGGGTATCTATGTGAGAGAGAGAATGTTCTGCAATCCATTCCAAAATGACAATGTTAGTAAACAGGGGTATCTCTGTGAGAGAAAATCCTGCAATCCATTCCAAAATGGAAATGATAGTAAACAGGGGTATCTATGTGAGAGAGGATATCCTGCAATCCATTCCAAAATGGAAATGATAGTAAACAGGGGTATCTATGTGAGAGAATATCCTGCAATCCATTCCAAAATGGCAATGTTAGTAAACAGGGGTATCTATGTGAGAGAGGATATCCTGCAATCCATTCCAAAATGGCAATGTTAGTAAACAGGGGTATCTATGTGAGAGAGAATATCCTGCAATCCATTCCAAAATGACAATGTTAGTAAACAGGGGTATCTATGTGAGAGAAAATCCTGCAATCCATTCCAAAATGGAAATGTTAGTAAACAGGGGTATCTATGTGAGAGAGAATATCCTGCAATCCATGCAGATAACCTTACATAGGTCTACCTCTTTAAAGGGCACTGCTGGTGGGTTGTCATTGTCATCAACAGCATCCATATCATAATTTTCCCTGAACCCACCGTTATATTCATCCTAGAAAAGCAAGCGGTATTAGTACAAACTTAAAATAAAGTAAGAATTTAACAAAAATGCATTTTTGTGAATATCTACTAAAGCACATCGTGGATTTATATAACGATTGAAAAAGTTTTGACTGTGAAGAACAATAATCTCATGATTGCTGAGTCCTAAAAATGTTGGTGGTACTAATACAACATAAAGCATACAACAAGCAGAGGCAAGATAAGACATTAGTACAATAATGGTTAATACAAATATAGGATATAAGTTCTGTGTAAGTGGAACACCCTTGGTTCTACTCTAAAGGTGTTCCACTAGTGAGTTTTTACTATCACTGGAATTTTGTTTCTTGAGATGTCATGTCAATATGGCATTAGCGTCTGAATGAATTTTGCTATCTGCATCTCTCTTTAAAACATTCACAACTGTACACTTAAACTGCAGTTCTAGAGCTAAGTGCTTATTATTCGCTTACATTTTACTCCATAAATATTAAAACATGTATGTACATGTACATATTATGTCATTGTGAAACACATAACATTAGAGTGTCAATACAGCTATACAAATAATTATATGTGGTTTGAGCTCATATTAATTTTGCGAAATAATTTTTGATATCTGTTTATTCAAAATTGTAACAATTTGAGAGAAATTCTGAAACTGTGAATTAATAATTCTGGGTAAAGAATTTTGATTTCTCTGAGTGTAACTTCGAAATATGTGCTCCTTCTTTATTATTCCTTTTAGGAAGCATAAAACAGATAAGTTAGAGACAGGCATATTACAACTTTGTTTTAATCAGAAGGATAAAGGGTTCCATACTTAAAGGACACCTCAACATTCTGTTCAGTGTCTCCGAAATCAAGATAAATCTTAGTCTACTATAAAAATTAATTCATTACTCATAACAATTGTTGGTGCAACTTTAAATAATTGTGCAACAAATTTGTGACAAAGTGAGAATCCTTTTTATGAGAAATCAGAAATTAAATTTTAATAAAAGAATATACCAATTCAGATTTATATATATCAATTACAATATTTTGTGTGACTTTAAATAATTGTGCAACATAATTAATTTGGAACAAGGGAGGTTAGCTTATACCATCCACCATAGATAATAACTATATAAAAGGGTTGCACCTTGGGATTTTTCTTGGTTTTGTCTGGTTGTGAATATATATAATCACCCTGGTCCTAAATAGAAAAGAACAATTATAGTTCTTTAGTTAATAGTAATTAAATCCCATTTATAGTGTAATCTCAGCTGTTAATTAATTTTTCAATTACATCTCTAATTGGAATAGTAAAGAATAAATGGGATTTCTCTACTAAATTAAGTCCAGCACACAGTTTCAAGAAAATGTTACCAGCTAGCCAATGGAAATAAATGGGGTTGTTTAAAGTTGAAACTTTTTGGCAGCTGTGTTTTGGACTCATATTGTCTGATTTGCTAGATCAGCTTAAATAGAATTTGAATGGGGATGAAGCCCAGCAATGTGTAAATTATGGTGAATTTCATAGTAATCTTTCAAATAACATTAAAGTATTTATCATATATGTGGGATTTTAAGGATTGACAAAGCTTGTGAGGTAACAGGATAATGAGCCTCTTTCAAGTGGGAATTGCGAATAAGTGAGAATTGAAAAAAAGGGGGAATTTTGTATTTAACTAAAATGTGTAATATTGTAACTATAAATGGGATTTGAATTAGTGAAGATATCTACCAGTGAATTATGGAGAGTTCTAAAAGGAAGAAAAATGCAAATATTACAGAAAATTAATGGGGTACTATGAATTTTACAGAGAATTAAAGGTGTACTATTGCCTTGCGGACATAAGCTTACACATGCGAGTACCTAGTACATATATGTGATATATAATCCAATCAGAATTTCTAAATATTACTTGAGATTTGTGTATCCTTCGAAATGAATGAATATCATATATATATATATATATATATTATATAAATGATTAAAAAATCAGGATATTTTTAATGGATGAAGCCTAGGATATTTTAAATGGATGAAGCCCATGGTATAGTAAATGAAACCCAAACAAAACAAATAATACTGAAAATGTTTTAATGATGCAAATGCTTTATGAAATACACACCGTCTCTGGATTCTTTTTGGACTTGTCTGGCTGTGAGTAGATGTAGTCAGGTCCAACTTGACCTTCTACCTCAGTCTGTGGGGCTGTGAAGTCATTTCTAGAAACATCAACATTTAAATAAGGGTGGGCCAGAAAATTTTGCAACTTTTTTAAAAGGCTAGAAAAGTAAAATGAAGTAAGTGCATATTATATATATGCAAACTTTAAAATGAAATAAGTTCATGTTTTACTTAGAAATTTCCTCTATAGGACCGATAGGACCTGTGCTTTTATATTAACTATATAATTTTTTTGAACCCTGCAGTATCCAAAATTTTAATTTTAACACATTTTTCATTTCTTTTTTACAAGTTTTGATTTAATTCCTATAACTTATAAAATTATAAATATTTCCTTACCCAATATCCTTTCCTTTCTCGACATTAGCATCTATGAAATACACAAATAACAATAATTAGAAACAAAATCATGAAAACATTCATATACCAATTTTGTATTTATTAAAGATATATGTATATTGTTATTTTCTTGAAAATAAAGTGTTAGATTCTCCCTTTCACAACTATAAAACATTTGTAATATATCTTACTTCTTGAATCCCTACTAGTGCTAGCTGTTAATAAGAATAAGTCTACAATTAGTTGAATCATATCATTGCAGGTGTAAAACATATGATCAACTTAGCTAATACCAAAATGCTGTACTTTCTACTATATATTTCATAAACAATAATTGTCTGTTATGATGCCAGTAACAATAAAATGCCGGCTACAATCACTCATAAATATGGGGTGATTAAAAAGTATTGGGCGCTACTTTGTTCACTACTTTTGAATCATCCATTATATATCTACATCTAGTGATTATTAGAAATTTAAATGAAAAAAAGGTTGTAAGCAAGCTGGGGAAAGGCAGATGATTTAGGAAAGTTCAACAGAAAAATGTGCAGGTGATTCAGACATTTTTTGGTGGAAACTGATAACTGAATGAAAAGCGAAATCACCTATACACAAATATACTAGCAATCTCTATGGTATAACTTCAATCTAACAAACACAAATCAAAATTTGTGAAACAAAATCAGAGTGGTCCGAACCAAAGAGGGGCATTACACAAGACACCCGTAAATGTTAGGGTAGGTAGCTTTAAAGTTCTCGGTTGTCAATACCCTAACAATGCAAACCTATCCCAAAAACTATAGTTGTAAAATGTGGTATCATTCAATAACAAAAATTTCCTTTATATCAAAATTGTTGTCAATTACTCACTATTTCAACTGCAAGACTTTGAATTGGTTTGAATCATGAGGGTATTTAGAGGCTATCAAGAACGTTGGAGTCAAAACCCTTACAAGGTATTCAGTCCTTAATTGTTCCTCTCTTTTCAAAACAGTTTATAAGTGAATCAAAATAAAGTTTAATTCAATTTAATCAAAGGCATTTGGTTTCCAATAAACCAATCAATTTCCTGGGGTCCAAAGTCTGACTTTAAAAGACCTAGCCCTTTGTGCGCTTTATTATAATTCTATAATAATTCTAGGTTCCTCCACCTTAATGTATGTTTAAGGACATAATAAACACATCAAATATGTAAAACTGGGGACAGCAGATCGTCAGACTACTGGAGCATATTTGTTGTAAATAAAAGAATAAAATAGAAATATTTCGGTCTCTAATTCAAGACAATGAAATTTTTACATAATCCTGTAAGCATATTTTTCTTTCAAATTGCAGGCAAAAATGTAATCCATAAAATAGTTTGGTTTCTAAAGATCTGCCTCATCAAAACCAAGGTCACATTATCTGAACACAAAAACAACTAAAACTTCATTCTGACCATGTCTCTTCCTCTCTTTTTCTCTCTACTTTAAAGCAATAAATGTTTGATTTCCTGGCATTTCCATACAATTCAGAATATTTGCTTCATGCCTGTTAGCTTCATTTTATATCACTCTTTTCCACCCTTTTTTACTCTATTCCTCAATACAAAACATGACCACCATGACATTTTAGTTCACATAGCTTGGGGGAATTGAAGCAAAAGTAAAAAATCATTTTGGTCGTGGTCTTAAAGTAAAGCCTATATAATTTCTAACAGAATTGGTATTTGTTAACAACTCAGGGTGTCTTAATACTTTGCGTCTTTTCAATTTATTCCTCGTTGATTCCATTTTTCTCTGTGTTTTGCATTTTAAAACACGACCATCATGATTCATTAAAATTGGGATATACAGGTAAAGGTAGCACCATCACATATACCTACCCTTAGGTTTCCTGTGTTTGCGACCTTTTCTAGGGCCGGTAGGGGGTGGTGGCAAGGGGCCTTCAGGGGGACCCACATTGGGGTTTTCACTGGGGAGCCCACTCTGAAGATTGTTATCATAAGGGCCATTCTGGGGGTAGGAATTCTGCTCATAGGGGGCACGGGTGTAGGGTTGCTGCTGGGGTGGAGCAACAGTATCATTGATGTATATTTCACCCTGGGGGTTCTGGGATTCATTGCCCTGGGGGTTAGAGTTCTGGGGAGGGGCATTTTCTTTTTTCTGCCAGGGTTTGGGCATGTTGGAAATTGTGGCAGCAATTTTTCCTGTGAGGTTGAAGGATAGAAAACAGAAAAGAGGGATTATTAAGCATGTTACAACAACAGTCAAAAGAACAGAGGCTGAAATGCTAATTCCTTTATTAAAAGTTCATACTTTTTTGAACCAATAAAAAGGTATCCCGTGAATTTTCATTTTACCCTACCCCCTTAATGCTTCAAGTCAAAATAAGACTTGCCACGTGACTGGTCTTGTTTTCTCAAAGAAATTAGCATACACATTGCCTCAAATGTTAAAGAGATAAAGTCTACCACACAGAAACAAGAAATGGCTTTATTTCACAATACTCAATATATTATACAGAAAAATCTCATAATTAGCCATTCTTGGAGCTGTGCACTAAACTGGGTTATAAATCAAGAGAAGAGTTATAAAGAGAATTGATAATTTGAGAAAGTTAAAACAACATTGAAGAATTGATTGTGTGTATGAAAAGAACACAATTTCTACTATTAGACAAAACCTGAATCGAAATCCATAACACCACAGTTCATTGATACATGTTTGTGTCTTTTCAATCAAATTATGTCTAATGATCAAAATGTGACATTCAGAAGTGAAATGGTTACAAGCTTTAGTGTTTGTACTTAAAGATGAGGCTACAACTACAAGTATTTCATGATGAGGCTAAAACTGCATATACTTCCAAGATGAGGCGAAAACTACATGAATGTGTGAATGGGAGGGATAACAATTCCTTAAAGTGCATTGTATTGTATATAGTACAACTGTATTATTGTAAAGAGAATAAGTAGTCTTCTAAAGTACTGAATACAAGTAAAACATTCTGCTGAGTATAGTTGGTGTTTTGTTTAGTATAGGTAGTATTGTGTTGCATGTTGTATAAGTACAGTATTGTGCAGAGTATAAGTACAGTATTGTGAAGTATAGTATTGTGTTGATTATGAATACAGTATAGGGTTTAGTACAAATACAGTATAGTATTTAGAAAAATTGACTTGAGTGCTTATTAAAAGTGGAAGACAACAAATCCCATGATTTAATTTCAAAAATCCTGGGATTGTTTGACCTCCATTGTTTATCTTAAATATTGTTATAAAGGGTTCTCCTTACCCTTTGGTTGGGGTCTGTTATATGCAGACAGATCTTCGTCAGTGGGGTATTTTATCACTATTAAAGAAGAAAGAACAAATATTAGTTAAATCCTGGACTCCCAAAGTTATTTTATCCCCAAAATATGTTGTATTAGTAAAGTGAATAAATCTTTTTTTTACATTTACAGTCGTTGGGTTCGATGCTGTGATTTTAATGTCGAAACCCATCGATACGTTTATAAGCCAATCAAAAATTTAGTAAATCTTAGCTTCTTGGACTTTCTCAGTTCTAAAACTCCTAGACTTCGTGAAGTGTCCAATTTCTGTAAAAGTTTCAGAAATATCTTTGAGGTATTTTTGTCGAATTTTGGATTTAGCGAAGGCTCCAATAATGTTTTGAGAGTTGCTTGCCCACAAATTGTGTGAATTATTTTGTGAGTACACAAGTTTCCATTTTGAAAATAATAACAAAATAATTACATTTTTGGATGAAATTTGATTTTTGAGTCATTGAATGGATAACTATATTAATAATACGAGTTAGAGGCCATATCAATATTTGTCACATTTCCATGGCAACTTAATTGCAACAAACTATATTTTTCACATTTTTATATCACACGCAAGTGTTACACCTGACAATATACATAATTTTCAAAAAATATGTATCTCTGGCTTTTCTTTCAATGTTACCAGGGAAATATGATTGTCAAAAAGGAATAAAAAAAAGAAAAATAGAAATGTGTCAGTCAAACTCTTAAGCACGCTAAGAATTTTTTTATTTATTAAAATATTTAATCATCCACACAAAAGTTATTGTTATAATATATTAGTTGCAAGGAATATAAGATAATTTAGGTGAAATGAAAGAACAACATCAGTATCTAAAGAAAAGTACAATCAAATCGAGACAAAAATATGCCTTTCTACAAGATAAATACATCTATACATTACTGTGGAAAATCTCAAGTTTGGAAAGAAAACAGTGTTACTATGTTATAATTGCTATGTTAGGTTTAAAATTAGCACACATCAATCTACCAAAAAATTGTTAATTTTTCCCAAATGGATTAATGATACCGACCTTTAGGGCTACATAATTATTTTGCTATAGATACAGTACCTTTAAATTCAATATTTTGAAAAGATACTGTACCTTTAACTTCAAATTTTATAACAGATACGCCTCTATTTTGACCTTATGTATCTTACCTCTATCTCTGGGTCTCTTAATGATCAGGAAGTATACAATGACAATGATAATAGCGAGACCAATAAGACCACCTATAACTCCTCCCACGATTGCCCCAGTATTAGCTCCAGCTGAAACAATTTCATTTTTATTATGTACTTGGACGAATGGTCCACAATTCATTTAAACATATATAATAGAACTTGTCTAAGTAGAACACCTTTGGTACCTCTATAAAGTGTCCACTTGGGAGTAGTGTTGTCGCGATGTGCCATAATCGTACATCAATGCATCGGCAATTTTCAGGAGTAAACATCGATGCACATCGCGATGTACATCGAGAAAAAGTCCGAGAAAAGTGCACTGAAATACCAAACGCTAATGCACTAAAATACCGAACAGAACAAATTAATAAGAGTACGCTGGTACATACGGGAACTTCTAGTAACGGTGAAATGAAAGTAAAAAGTAATTTTTTTAGATTAATGGTTCATTTCGACTAGCTAAAGCAGTTTTAAAGCGAAAGAATATCAGAAAACATTGGAAAATGAAATAAGTCATGAGAAAGGTAAGCGATTTGCGTCAAAATAAGATAAGGGTGATTTTTAGCAAATTAAATTTTTTTTAAAAACATCGATGTTTTGTTTCAGACATCAATGCATCGTCAGAATCAGCTTTGGCGATGTATATCGCGATGTATCGATTAATCGCGACAACACTACTTGGGAGGGTGTTCCACTTAAAGGTCTTGGGTCTCTAAAGTGTTCTACTTGTAAAAGTATTCCACTTCTATAGGTATTCCATTCCACTTTATAGGTTTTACTGAACATGCTTGTATGTCTGTGTATCAGTATAAATATAAGAGAAAGGTAAAGACAATACAAAAACTCAAATTATGGACAATTGAACCATTGATTTAAAATGGCATTTGAAATTTCGTAATCAATTTTTGCAGCAACAAGAGATGCATGTGCTGTGCAGAGCATTTCAATATTCTTGTAGCGTCTTGCTTTTAAATAATAATAATAGTGTTGGGTCTCTACGAAACGATGACGCCAATATGATACGACAAACTTCAGAGTTCAGAGTAACATACGATACTTTATTATAAAGAGTCAAACTACACTACCTATGTACAAGTTATATACTACTGAGCTACTGTACTGACTGTAAAAGACCAAATCGTAACTCCGGATCGTCACTCCAGATCATAACTCCAGATCATAACTCAGATCATAACTGCCAGGGTGAGGTTTCGAAGCCTCTTATATAGTACTACTATTGGCATGTTGCCAAACCACAATTGGCAACCTGCCAATGACCAATTTGGCAAAGTGCCAATGAAACTTAATGACCAAATTATTCTAAGTTCTTACTGAAATGTCACTGAAAATGCTTAAGTCCAACTGTATGAATGAATAAAATTGCCTAAGTCATGAACCACTGTTGTTGCAAAATGACAGAGTCCAGCGCCTTTGGTTGGATGTAAAATGTTTAAGTATTGAGATACAGGTTCGTGAAAATAACAGAGTCCAGCTAGTCTGGTTATGAGAAATGACTAAGTCTTGCCTATATGATGAGTGAAAAGAACAAAGTTGTGGCTTTTGGCTTCACTGATTTTGTTAAGTCTTGATGGACAGCTATGCTGCCATCTTTAGGTAAGAATTGAAACCTAGCATGACTTAGAAAAACCCAACAATAGTTAGCAATGATGAAGCTTGCAAAGTCAAACCAAGCCCTCAGCAATTTTCAAAACAAGAGCATAAATTGAGCATGCATAAAAACATTTAAGAATAAGAACTATCTTCAGAACAAAAATTTATACTTTGTTCAGCAGAGAATATACCTACTTGTATTACTACTATACTGTAACAGTTATGACTTAAGTAAACATTGAGTACTTACTCGTTGATGGTCCTGCTCCAGGAGGGGCTGAAAACATGAAATCAACCTTTAAATTATCTCATAACATTCAACAAGCAATCACATAAATCATACAATCAATCATTAAAGGCCCAGTATAAACTTTAAAGCACTTATTCTAAAAAATACTCTGGGACCTTTAAATTGATTTTTTCTTATGTGCTGTATATGCATTATTTAGCATGCACAACCTGAATCCAAATAACAGATTTCTTTGACTGATTTTGATTTTATCCACTTTGTGCGCCAAAGCTTAATAGTTAGATACTGAATAGCGTTTAATAGGAGGTTCAATGCAATTTAATTCCAAAATGAAAGCATAACATTCAGTACTTTTATATTAATTGGATTGGATTAAGCTGGATTTTTTAAAGAAGAAAAATGAACAATTCAAAATGGTAGAATTCATCACACAATGGTCTGACAAGAGCATGCTAAAGGCTGCAGTTTTATTTTCGCAATATACAACATACATGTACACTATGTCATCATAAAATATGTGAAGTTATATATGGTCTGTTCCTATATATATTGCTATATATATTGGGTATCCCCAAAAAATTGAGCCACTTTTTGACAAGTATTATCTCGACAACTGGTAAACCAAGTTCACTGAAAAGTTGTAAAAAGTAGCCCTAGAGTGTCATTAGCAAGGTACAAAAATATGAAAAGGATCAAATAAATGTTATGTGAGGAATAAGAAATTCAAGATAGCATCTCATAATATCCCATATCGGAGCAAAACAATGAGAACTTTTTATCAAAAAATGAGAAGCAATTTGACAAGTTATTTCTCAGCAATAAATGAAAAGATCAATTAGATATCACTCGGCTCCCATTGAGCAATGAAGACCAAGCGCGCGAAGATGATAGCTGGTTAAAACACTATAAAGGTCTCATATCAGAGATCCGGTATGGGAATTTACTTGATATTTTTTATATTTTTACAACTTGCAAATGATACTCCTACGCTACTATGTACAAATTTTCAGTGAATTTGGTCGATCAGTTGCCGAGATAATACTTGTCAAAAAACAGCTCATTTTTTGGGACACCTGATATATATTATCTAGTTAAAACTCTCTTCTGGCTACTTTGCTGATTCAGATTAATGCATTTTCATAGATTAACTCATGCCATGCATTTAAGTATTTATTGCAACAAGCTTTTAGTGTTTAATTTTGTTTACTTTTGGGAAATCAGTATTTTTGTTCATGTAGTCTTCGAATCTCTGAGCAATTCATTCGATGCTATCATGTCTCCTCTCTTACTTATTTGCGGGAGTTTTGAGCTTGTTCATAATTTACACTAAATTTTGTCATATAAAGTAAAGCACTGTAGTTGAGAAATGAGTATGTTAAAAACAGCAAGACATAAATAGGTCTTAATTAACAAAAAATGAGGGAACAACTTACCCCTAACTGTGAAGGAAATTTCTCTTCTGGCCTCATGCTTCATTCCTTTGATCATATTTTCAACGTAACACCTATATGTATTCTCACCAATCATATCACTCTTGAGCATCAGGGTCTGCCCATTGACAGTCAATTCCGTACTTTGGCCACTTATTTTCTCCCATTGATAAGTAGGCATGGGGTTTCCTTCTCCGGTGCAGTTCATATGTTCACCGACCATATATTCACTCACACCGGCATCATCAAATGGTTGCATTTTAATATTTTGAAGGACTGGATCTGTAAAACATTTCAAAACAAGACTTCACAGCACATTGATTCTCAGAGGATTTAACAGATTAGTATTTTCAACTTTTAAAGGACCACTAAAAAGAAAAAGAAAAATAATTTCAAATATCATCACTTGAAAGAAGCTATCAGAGATGGAGTGCTTTTCTTTATTCTTAGAATATTCCTTGCTTATATATAACCCAATGCATGTTTTAACTCAGTTCTCTTTATTTCAGTTTTGTTTCAAAGTTTATGTGGCTTATAACTTTTAATAAAAATGCTTCACATTTTGGGATAAATCAACATAAGACAACAATGAGCAAAACATTAAAATTGAAATACTCACAAACAATCTCAAATTTAGGAGAAGAGTAACAGCTCTCTTGGAAGTCTTGAATATTCTGCACAGTTACCCGACATTCACACGCTTCACCGTGGTATGACGTCCTCACAGGGAATGTTGTATTAACTTCAAGAAGAGAATTTGCACCCCCACTTGAGGAGGACGGAAGCAGGGTACCAGTGTTGTCGTACCAACTCAGTGATGCTGAATTGACACCACGGAAATCTATGCTGCACACAAGTTGGGCTTTGTCGCTTTGGCTCGGGTTTTCGATATCTGCCATGAGCTGACCATTGCTATTTGGACAAGAAGGTGTACCTGGAAAAGTGAACTGATCATTATCATACCTGTCAATTCAATTTATACAATGAACATTTTTACGAATCAGTTTCACTGGCGGATCCTGGAGCCCCCCCCCCCCCCCCTACGATGGGCCCACCAAAAAGATTTTGTAGGGCCTCAATTAGTGGGCATTACTTGGTCTTTAAGGACCTGATTTTTTTAATTTCAGGCCAATTCATCAAAAAATGGGCCTTACATTTTGAAAATTTGGGCCTAATTTTTGGTATTAGCTGCCCAAAAATTGTTCAAAAATAAAAAGGGTGCATATTTTGAGTCACACTGTATATCACAAAGTACAATACATTTATTTGATAACAATATAAAATATATTCTATAACAATGACCTTTGGGTGTCTTACATATTTTTATACATATTCAAAACATAAATTGTTAGTCTCGATTCAAGATTCTGTCCCCTCCCTTTTATCTACTTCAACAACAGGGAAGGTGTACGGTGGGAGGGGGGGGGGCTTACAAGGGCCTGTAGCTAGACTTATCAATTGTTTAAAAAATTATAATTTGAATTGAACAGCTCACCTATAACGGTCAACTGTGCTGCATAATCTTTTGGTGGTCCAGCTGAAGGTATTGTACGACACTCATACTTCCCTGCATCTGTCATCTGTACATTTTTAATAGTAAGTTTATATTTATTGGCACTTGTAGAGTCGACTTCATACTTGGCAGGATTTGAAACTTGCCCACCAGTATGCCATACAGTGATACCAGTATCACCTTGTGAGGCATATTCTACCCATACGACGTATGTGTAGCCTTGGTCTTTACAATTAAAGGTGACGTCTGTGCCTACGCGTGCCGCACTATCCGCAGGGATATCTTGGCCCAGGGCAACTGAAATAAATAAATTATTAACTTTACAAATTCTTTATACGATTTCCCCTCTTTATGAGGACAGAGGGATATATGCATAGGGGGTAGGGTTGCATAATTTCAAAATCATATATTCTAGTCAGTGAGGATTGTAATTTCAACTCGCATATTGTTATCAAACAAAGTTCCCTCTGAATTACCATGCACGCAGAGATATACCCTCTGCCAAAGTCAAACCAATGCAAAGGGTACCTCTGAACATAGCACTTGCCAGTTGATTTCCTGGTTGTTTTGTATTTTTCATATGTTGCTCACTATGCATTCCTTTACCTAATATGTGTAGTGTGATTTGATCACGTTTATTACATTACAGAATCCCATTTACACAATGTTAAATACATTTGGCCCATACTTTAAATTGAGAAATAACATTATAATGGGTCTAGTGAATGGGACACAACTTAACAAGCATGTAGTCAACATTCTAAATTGTATAGAAATGCAAGAAAAACAGATAGTTCATTCAAATTCTAGAGAGAAAATGTGTAAAAACAGCATGACAAGAACATCAAGACACAGGTATCTATTCAGTAAATATTGTTAAGTGTAAACCACTCAACATGAGAGATAACAGAGCTTGGCAACTATCTCTTATATAGACCAGGAACTATAGGCAAATATACAGACATGAAGTTGAAATCTACTATAGAAACCATCCATAAACATATATACAGTACCTTGTAAAGTAAAGCCTTATATCAGAACAGAACACCTCTCAAATCTAGACTTCTTTAAATCTGAACACTTTTTAGAAAGTCTAGTCTCCTAGTGACTTCTATGTTAAAACCCTGAAAGTTGAACACCTGGCAATTTGAATATTGTGGCCTGTTCCAGTGCAATTCAGATTAGATAGCTTTTACTATACAGTAAAACCTGTCTAAGTAAACACATTTCTCTTGTGAACACCTATATCTAATGAATACCTCTTCTTGGGACATTCTCTACTGACTTCTGTATAAATTGCCTCCCTGAAGTGAACACCTACCTATAGTGAACACATTTTATGGCTCTATAAGTGTTCACAGTATGATTGATTGATGTTTGATTGTATTTAGACTGTAACATATCAAAAAAATAAAATGGATTTTTTATACTGCGAAAAGTATCTATTATTTTTCAGAATTTCTATTCAAGATGGCATGTTAATTCAATTCATCTTAACTATGGTCTTACTTCAAATAAACGAACCTGTGACATTTTAAAGTTGTAATATACTTCCTCCACTCTACTTATGCTAAATGTTAATAACTTAAAATAAATAAGCATCTCCTCCAATATGTACAAACTATTTAAATATGGAATCTGACACTTTAAGGTTCACTTTTAAGGACATTGTTTTCATGTTCAGCTTAAAATATTTTGACATGTAAACAAATAAACAATATGTCAGGTATGGACACAAATACATTTTATTCTATTTTCAACATCTACTGTATACTCTCAGGCTCCTATTTGATCTCCCCAGGATCTTTTCGCAAGAGGGTGCAAAATTCTCATTTTCACATTTCAGACCAAAGATGGTCAAAAATGCAAATTTTTCATGATTTTTCTCATTTACAAGTGTGGGTGCAAATGGATTTACAGGTGGGTGCAAGGCTATTTTCAAAATCTCAGGGGGGCGCTGCACCCACTTGCCTTAGAGCTGGGGAGATCACTGAACATGTAAAATTTTTATGAGTTAGACATGACAGAGCATGTATTTACATTACCCTAAGCCCTACTCTTCTTTCGCTACCATAATGCTATACTACCCTGTTACCATTCTCTCCCAACCTATGCCCTCTACACTTCTCTCTTATTCTCCTATGCCCTCCTGCCCTTCTGTAGTTTTTCCAAATGATATGTTAGCATGCATGTTACAATGATGTGTGAATATATTGTTGTAACTGTAGTTACAGTTATATGTAGTTACAACAAATGCAATACAATGGATCTACAGAAAGAACAACAACAGGCTGTGAGGCTTGCAAGGGCATCTATGCATTATTGATTCATTTTATAGCATTAATATTTTTTATTCTTTTATTCTTGCTCAAGGTATCTGGTATCTAATAATTGTTTAAACAATTGATTCAGTTGAGGTCACGCCAGTCCATTCTGCATTTATAAGTCTGTTAATTCATGCACCTGTGCATAAGTCCTTTGTAGACTAATTGCTACCCTTTTCTGACTAAGAAAGCTTCGTCTTCACTCTTTCAATTTACGATAAATCTCTAAACTCACTAAGCCATTCAGAGTTCGTCGTTGAAATACAGACGACTATCTATCTTATATGGTCATTTCATCTGACATTGTCGCATAGTAAATGACTCACTAAGCCATTCAGAGTTCGTCGTTGAAATACAGACAACTATCTATCTTATACGGTCATTTCCTCTGACTCTGACTCTGGCTTATTTAATGAGCACAAATTTACCATGTGTTCCTTCCAGCCTGCTGATTGGTTGAGATCAGCTTGGTAGGTTTGAAACGATTTATGACCCAAGCTGTCATGGGCATCGGACGTGGTGTTGGAGCTACTAAACAGTAATATAGTCTATACTAGGCCAGGCAGAGGGTAGTTAATAACTAGACTCTGGGCACATGGCTTGTGTTCATAAAAGAATGGTGATCTTACTGTTACATGCTATGTGTATGGACTATGATCTTTATATATTCAATCAAATAAAGTTTAATTTAATGGATGTTTGATATCACGGCGTGTTTTGATTCTGTAAACCTCAACCTTATGAAAATGGTAGATGGTAAATATGATATGAACAGTACAGTGAAACTGGTAAAGTGGAACACTTCTGTCAGTAGAACACCTCTACAAGAGGAATGTCATATTAAGTAGAACACTTTTCAGAGTCATATGACCACATGAACTTTATGTCAAATGAATATATGTCAAATGAATATATGTAAGTTGAACACCTTCTAGTTGAACACCTTTTAGAGACCAATGGTGTTCCACTTATACAGGTTTTACTATATAAACAAAGTTTTCCCTCTGTATCTCTGGCTTCCTTTTCATAGTCGACAAAGCCCAACAATGCTTTTTCACAAATGAAAAGTTGTGGCAACATTTACTGGTTAATACCTGTACTATCTACATATACTACCTGTACTAGACCATGCAGATAGACCATGTAGATAGGCATATTCAGCCTTCCCTTGTAAAATATGGTAATTGAATTATAAAAATTATGCATTCTGATGAGCAGCATTGTACAAAATGTAAATCGGATGCAACAGATTATATGATTTACATCAAGGTTTACTCATCAATTTTTATGTGAGCTGATATTGAGGCTACAATAAAAATGTGTAGTCTATGTATTTCAATATCAATTTTATATCAACTGAAGAACAATGTTGACACAGTCTTGGGCATAGCAACAAGAAAGTGGTCAACATTTGGTAATACAGGCTATTTATTTCAATTGTTGCCGATCCTTAGGACTTTTCTCTTATCTTTGGGAATATATTATTCCAAATTCATAAGACTTTTGCATAGGAGATCAGTGATCTCCCTGGCATTAAAGCTAGTAGGCGCAGTACCCACCTGAAAATTCCTTTACACCCACTTGAAAATGAGAAAAATCATGAAAAATAAGCATATTTTGTCCAATTTTGGTCTAAATTGTGAAAATGAGAATTTGGCACCTTCTTGATCGTGTGAAGAACAATGTAACTAATTCTTGAGACTATTTGAATCAATTCTTTGGCCTATTTTAGCCAATTTTGGCACGTTTTCCAAAGAATTCTTGAGTTAATATTTCAAAACATACATGTATATGCTAGCAATATTCTAGTCCCATCCAGATAAACTTGGTTTGCTTTTATCTACTAAGTGAGGTCAATCTTGAAATAAATAAGATAGTATGGTATACTATTTACATGTTAAGTGAGTCATTGTAATATATAAAATCTGATAAACTTTATACATCCGAATTATGATACAACTTTTAGAATAAGTAATACTGAATGCACAACATTTTGAGTTCTATTCTTTCTAATGCATATGTGATTTTGCTACTTAAAGTTCTGGAACCCCCCCCCCACCCCCTCTACATATTTTCCTTCTCTTTTATTGGAGCTTGTTTATTAGAGTAGGGTATAAGGGCTTGAAAGAAGACTATTTCAAGTTATTAAATCAACATTTCTTATTAGGTACATCTAGTTGATTTAAAAATGTAGCTCTTGTGTTTTAAGTCCTTCGGCCATTAAACCATTTTCAGTGTCCAAATAAACCTCTGTATTTTGAGGCACTGAAGGTATTCCTCTTATACAGGTTTAACTGTGCCTAACAAAGGTGACAAAAAGGTCAACAAAAATATGGTAAAATAATTCTGTTTTTCTTACCTAATCAATATAGTATGAATGGTATGTTTTGACAAGAGCTTGATCAATAATTTATGTAGAATGTCTATTATACTTGTAAATACCAATATAAAGAACTAAAGAAGTCAGCAGGATTGGTTTGTTCAGCCGAATAATAATTAAAGCAAGCATTATTAATTACTGCCCCCCCCCCTTAATTCACGTTAAACACAGAGTTAGGGATACTACATCTTGCTGCAATCAACCGCCCCCCCTCTAAAATTTTTTGATTGATGACATTGTTAGGTAAAAAATCATGCTTCATATTTTCTGAAAATTTGGTACACATGTGGTTAGATTAGCAAATTGACTGTTTTGCCCTAGGCTCAAACTGTGACCTATATAGAATATTCCTACTAATCCTTCATAATCTTTCATAATCCTTAATCCACTTACACTTATATATGGAAAGTTTACCCAAAATCTCTAAGATTTTATAGGATAAGTTTCAGTTAAAATTGAACAATGATTTGAATTAAAAATGGATATGTGAAAATATCATATAAATCAGACTTAGAGACGAGAGCTTGCTGCTGCTTTATGAAATTCCCTTTGATATAGTATGTGAACTAATGCCTTATATTTTCTGTACCCATCCCCTACACTGTCTACTCCATTTAAGAAAAGCGAATAGGGTAGGAGGGGGGGGGGGGGTGACACAAGGGGTTTTACAAAACTGCATGCCAATCAGCCTTTTTACTGACTGATCAAATATCATTTGTCAAAACTGTTACATTTCTAAGTTAACAATTTGATTTTGCAAGCTTTAGGTATGTCAAAATACAACATTCAAATAACTCTATTGAAACATATTTCGAACATAATTTTTTAACCTGTATTTCAAGTGCATGGGAAAAGTAAAACATAAGTCTTGTTTACTCGTGTATAGATAGTTTTTAACATTGAAAGGTCACTAATAAATAAAACCGACTAGACCAAGCACTTAGGGCTTACAACACTAAATATATAAATGTACACTGTCGCGAATATCAAGTAGACCTACTATGATGTTAAAAACTAGGAGAAATTTATATGAGAACTTGTTATTTGTAATTTTGTATCATGTCTTAATAAGAAAACATACCTTTCTAGCTATTACATTTCAGGAGTATATAATTAACACTCATGAACACCTAACTTTGGCAAACACCTGATTTTATTAAATACCTAACTTTGGCAAACACCTGATTTTGGTAAACACCTAACTTTGGTGAACACCTGATTTTGGTCAAACACCTGCATGTGGTAAACACCTCTCTTTAGCCAACATCTCTCCCTCTCCAGTAAACTAGTAAGCATTCCTCTCAAGATACCACATCTTTCTAAAGTTAATAATACTTGTACCTCACAATAAACAAGTCTTTAGTGAACATGTCTTATTTATTGGGAATATTCTTTTTCAGTGAGCACTTTCATCAAAGCAACAGCATTCCAGTGCATGAGCCATAGAGGCCTGGCAGTAAGGATAGTGCTATAATATATAATGTAAATGTTTTGGTAGTAAGGCATGATTAACTACTTTTCACATGCAACATACTAATTGTCACATGTTTTTTACCTCATTCATAATTCTTTATTAGTATCATTTTCACCTTCAATGGAAACTGTTAATATAAATGCCACCAGCTGATCACAGAAAAGAAAAATCAAGACTTGAATATGGCAGTATACTTCCCCCTCCCACCCCTTTTCTTAATAATGAATACTATTTGTATACTACCCGACTATAAAAATATATAATGTAGTCAATAACTTATGTTTTTCAACCTCATTTGCATCATATAAGCTCAATCAAAAAGAAACTTTGCCTCAATCAAAAATTGCATCTTCAAATTCCAAGTGGTTATAACACCCCTTGGAACAAATAGTTGATTTTTCTGTCCCATTACTGTGTGGTGGTTCATTCCCGTGTGTTTTACCACAGTACCAATCAAATTTGTTCAAATATTCATTTCGAGGTGAAGTTGGAGCAACTAAAACCTAGAGAATCAAGATGCAAAAAGTGTAAAATGTCGAAGGCCCTGTGAAGATCTTGCTTTAAGTTGATGCAATTCTCGAAGCTGTACGTCAACCTGAGTAAGATTTTCATTAACTGGATAAGAAAAATATCAGTCTAAAGCTATCTATTTATAGTATCCTTATATAGAAAATAGGTATAAGATGTAATTTATCAGAACTGTAATCTGACATGTAGATGAAGACAGAATATAGAAATAAAATTGATGTGAGTTTGATCTAGTCAGCGAAGTAACATATATTTAGATGTCCTTATTTTTCAGATTGGTGCTTTTACATATCTTACATATCTTTGTACAGTATTCGACATTAATTTTTTTTGTAAACTGATAAAATATCATATTTATTTATTTTCATGGTTTATCTTTGAACATATATGTTTTGCAAAACAATGCTCATTCTTTGCATTAAGATAACCTTACCAATGATACAGAAATATAAGGACATACATATCATGACTTCATTCAAATTTAGAGATAAATAATAAGTATTATGACACATCAATAATTTTGGATAATTCCCAAGTATCAATTGCACTCCTATTATCAAATGTTCAATTAAAATACTTTTTGTTCAATTCATTATTATAGCAATTTGGAAATTCCACAAATTATGAACACTCGTTCAACAGCTATTGTCATTATAATACACAGTACACATATACAGTATTATAGAATCAGCAAGTAGATACTGCAAGTACAAAAAGCATTTTGCTTATTCACATATATGACTGTTTAATAATACAATTATTTTATGTTGCCAAGTTTAAAAAAACATAATAATTTGTGAGTTTGCCCATTTGAACAATATAAGGTTGCCATGTTCTAGTGCTTAGCAATGCATTAACTTTGTATTACTAATGTGAACAATACACAATGATATGATGTTGGACTATCTATATACTGTCATCAGGCACACCTACACAAGTGCTGTGTTCAGCTAATTCTGATAAAATACTAGGCATTTGTGTTTGCTTGGGTATGATAAGAGAATATGTGTACAATGTATATAACACACAGGCCCGTAGCCAGGGGGAGTTCGTTGGGTTCAGGCAACCCCCCCCCCCCCCTGGCTAAAAATTCTTTCAACATTATGCAGTATTTCACCATTTTGAGCACTTCTCAACTGATTTTAGCCATATTTGAGCCAAAATTGTCAAATGTGAACCCCCCTTGGAAATTTTTGAAAACAGAACCCCCCTTGGCAAATCCTAGCTACGGGCCTGACACACTAGGTATGCTCTGGGTCAAACTGTCCAAATGACAAACTTGGGTCTTAATCTGCCATGCTTTCCTTTTCTTATTTTTAACCATGCAAACCAGAATTAATCAGGATATGCCATTCGGATACTCACAGCATCTCTCTGTTTCACCCCAAACAGGTTGAGATGAAATGAGATGTCATGGTTTATCATGAAGATGTCATGGTTTATCATGAAGATGTCATGGTTTATCATGATGAGAATATGCCCATTTTTATGATTTTCCTCATTTCTAACAAGGTACAAATGGATGTTCAAGTGGATAGCATGCCTAATTGCTTTAATGCTGGCAAGATCACTGCCTGGTACATAAATTTGCAATTCAGACAGTTTCAATATACCCTTAACAAGAATATTAGTTAATATGAACATCTGTAGAGTAGTCCTTTGGCAAAAATCCTTGATATAATTTTTGTGTATTAATATTGGTGGCACATTATGAAATCAAGTTCATGTATACTCGTTTCCAGGAAAAGTCCCAACTCATAAAATCTATACTACGATCTCACACCCTCTCCCCCATCCCTATTATTCACCAGTTTTTCAACTATCCTATCAAGGAAACAGATAGATAATGACATAACAAAGGGCATCAGGACAATGGTATTTATAAGGACGTGACAATATTATCAACTTAATATGACAAAAATGAAGATAAAAATTGTTATGGTGAAATCTGCATTAAGTGAACACCTTGAACATCTCTATATAGTTTTGACATATCTTCATAGACCCAAAAAATGTTATAATACGAGAAAGTGTCTGTTGCAAATGAAACACAACAGACACTGTATCTTTTTTTGAATTAAATTGACAATTTTATAACTTAATACAGGTTGGCAGGTTGGTCTTAATGCACAGTAAAACCTGTATAAGTGGAACACCACAGGTACCTTAATATATTAATAATAACTAGTGTTCCATATGGGAGGTGTTCTACCTCCAGAGTTTCATTATGCATTTAGTTAGCTTTTTGATTATTTCATTCATAGAATTTGATTCACTTTACATATTAAAACATACACTTGTAGCCACTTTGCCATAGTATTATCAGCCACTTGAATGAGCGTAATACATATACAGGGTGAAGATTAGACTGAAAAGTATTCAAGTTACGGAGGTGTTCCACTATACAGGTATTCCACTTTACAGGGGTATTCCACTTTACAGAGGTGTTCCACTTTACAGAGGTATTCCATTTTACAGAGGTATTCTACTTTACAGAGGTGTTCTACTTTACAGTAGTGTTCCACTTTACAAAGGTGTTCCACTTTACAAAGGTGTTCCACTTTACAGTAGTGTTCCACTTTACAGAGATATTACACTTTATAGAGGTGTTCTACTTTACAGGTTTTACTGTCTTTCAGGTTGAGGAAGTCTCAGTTCAGATTTTATCTTTGACTATACACAAAACAAGATAAACCTTGTCTGAAATATAACTGAACTATCACATGAAATTCAAATTTAAAAAAACAGATGTAGACATCTCATTGGTTAGAATTATTGCAGCACATTGTCTCCCTAGCATTAGGCGCGAACATCTATCCGACAACTTGACCCAATTAAAAAATGTCTTTAGTTTATATTCTTTCTTAATACTAGGTAGGGGCTTACAAGTTATAATTGTTTACAATCACTATATCCAGTTCAGCGTTCGATTATATTTTGACCATTTTTAGCCAGAATTTACAAGAGTTGAGAAAATTTTGAATAGAACAGTATTGAATTTTCTACTTTATATAAATATCTCCCATTGTTTTTTTATTAAAATAAAATTAAAAACATTATTTAAATGTTCGTCAAGTCTATATTGGTTGGATCAATACTATCTTACAAAAGGGAACATATATATATTTAATATCTCTCAATATTTTTGTCACATAAAACTTGGTAAATATTGGAGAGCCTTGACCTTCTCAATCCTGCCAATCCCATTTGAGTGTTTCATACTAAAAAGTTAAACAGCACTGCATAATACTACTTGAGATTTGTGATTTACTGTATAATGAAGCAAAATTAAAATTCAACTTGAATAAAAATAACAAACATATTGAAGTAGTTTATTTATCAATATTAATCTAAGACAAATGACCTTAAAATGCGATTGTTTATTAAATTTATTATGGACCTTGGCCACCATTTCAGGTTAACAAAACTATGTGTTCTTATAAACTAAGAATAAAAAATCTTTTGAAGTAATTCAATTCTTAATGCAGAAATGTAAATATAAGTACCAACTTTACTTATTGAAATTTATTCCTTAAAAGGTTGTTTTTTGGTCATGCCACAGTATGAATACAAATACATGTCTCTATAATAAAAGTGGGGACAACATTACAATAACAGGGGTTGTATGAGAAGAAAGTAATAGGCGATTTTATCTCATTGTTTTTTTTACAAAAATGCCACTTGTTCTGCGAAACTTTTCAACTTTTTTAACTATTTTTGTTATGCTTCAGGAAGTCTAACACAACCTCTGAATATAGTATATCAAATTCTTGGAGATTAGAATCCAGGCCAGTTACAGTCAGGAAAAAAATGAAAATATGAAATGTTCTCATTTTTCACATTTCTATATAAAAGTATCAAACTGAATGAAGTCAATTTACTTTCTACTTCCCGATTCAGCTTTTTTTCATTAAATTTTGTAATTTAAAATATGACACCCTGTAGAGTTTCAACAAGCTGGCACCTTTATTATTAGAGGTACCAATCTTGAAATATGTAAACAAAAGATAAAATCTGCCCCAAGAAGATGCTCTCTGAAGTGCTACATGTAAAAAACTGCCCCAAACATCGGGGTTTAAAATCAAAATGATGTAAGGGAAATCTGTTTTCAAGTGATCCTACCACAAACCTTTTTTACCCAAGATTAATATCTGTCTCTGTTGATGTTTTTTCCACCCAATTTCTCTCTAAAACGTGAATGAGTATTAGATATATATCTATTGATGTTAGCAACTCGAACTTTTTTTCTATTATTACTCTAATTT